AGCTGCAGAAATCAGCTCTGACCGATACTGTTATATTGACAGTGAAATGACATTTACTGATGTCGGTGCCAATATTTATCTATTGTCACATCACATTTGTGCTGCCTATATTCTGAAAAATGTAGGCTTGAAGAGCTTCGTTTCCCTGCGACAGAAGGAGAAATAAACAAGAACAAAAAGAAAAGGAAGCTAAAAATGATCAGCATCCACTCTTGGAAGTAGCTGCTGTGACATCACTCACTGGTTTATGAAGGCCTGTTTTGAATAGCTTGTCAAACAGAAGTCATTCGCCAATGAGCACACCGGAGATGATCTGTCATGTCAGTCTCATGTGCTTCAGATGAAGAGAGCTGGACTTACTTATTTTGTTTCTGATTACATCTCACCTCTCATCTAAGAGGCTGCTTAAGTTCTCAAAACGGGTATTGAACCCCTCGTGGAGTTTTCAGCTTGGAGTTGGTCCTGAGAGAGTGACGGGGGGTGAATTTCCCAAGAAGTGCATGTTCAGTTAGACGCCATTTGTGTCCACTGTGAACATGAACAGAGGTGATCGTTGAGCAGGTGGTGGCGGCCTACAACACAAGCTATTAGCCATCTCTCAGATCAGACCTGAGTGCCCTTCGCAGGATTTAAAAGGCATTTCTTCCTGGAAGTTTTACTTCTACCACCACGATACTGTTTCAGAGCACTGAGTGGCAGGTCTCTCACAATCAGTGGATCCCTATAAAAGACAAGAAAATGTCCAAATGGAGACTCTAAGACACTGTACTAATAAATGGATACATGTACAGACCATGCATTTGGTACTCCTGTGAAATTACAAGCAGACAGCGTTTTGCTGCAATTTCCAGACGACCTGCAGAAGGTGTTGTCATGGTAATCTGTCCCAACGATAGTTTTTCATTCATTGCTTGAGTTTTTGCTCCCCGGGGGCCGAGCGAGACCACATGTTGTCTGTGGTAAAGTAGATTTATCTCAGTGCAGTAAAGCTTTCTGCTGGCTCTGAATTATTTACAGACTATAATTTTTCTAGCCAACTCTTAATTATCTGATGATGAATGGCTGAGAGTGATTAGTGTTTGTTCTACTCTGGAAAAGAGATGTTCGTATTTAACCCAGAAGGCTGCTGCTAATGGAAGCGTAGTGCTGGATTTGAGGCTCGATGTTGTACTGGATCTCTCATACATATACCACTTGAGTAATATCTTTAAGTGGAAAAACAGCGAAGTAAACAGCTCATTGGTTTTTGTCAGTGGATTTGAACAAATGGGCATCTGAATATATTCTCTGTATACCCCACCCCAAAGCTATTAGCAAAGAGTGAATAATGTGCAGAGTTTGGTCAGCCAATAGTGCTGTCATATATCTTAGATTTGCTTTTTTACTTTATCTTCCAGGCATGGGGAAGGGCCTGACATAAGTAGGACTTTATCTGCAGTATTGTGGTTCACTTTGTGAAGTACAGATTTTACGGAGGCATGTTTTAAGCAAGGATCAGCCTGTTCAGACATCCCAAAACCTCAGGTGATAAAAGAAAACAGAAGAAATATGTGGAAATGAGAAAACTCAATCAATTACTGCTGGGTTTATGCTGCTCACTCGATCATCCTATCGCCCCTTTACTTTTACACTCCTGTTCAAAATTGAGAATGTTGTCTAGTTCCCATAAATGCAAACAGCTTGGCTGACCTTTAAGACTGCGGTGTGGTTGCTTGCTTTAATTTAGAGCCCTGAAGTGTTTAAGTTTTGAAGGTGCAAACCTTGATCAGTGCCATGGAGCAAGAAATTGAAGTCCCAACAACTCACTCTATAATTTACTGAATGACACTCTGAATATGTAAAACCTTGATATACAGGGAAAAAAACCCAATTGTGTAAAAACACATTTCCCCGTAGAACTTTAAAAGTCCCCGTTGACTCATTTAGTGTGAACTTCTGGGGTTCAAGAGCCCACACTGCCTGTAGTGCTGTGTGGCTGGGATCAGATTTTCTTATCTGTGTTGAGCTCTTAAGTCTCTGATACCAGTTTTAGTTGGTGTTATTATTTGGAATAGGATGGGACCAAGCTGGAGTTTTAGCATAGAAAGATTTCAAAAATAAAGAAGGTACTCATTCACCAGGTTTTGTTTGGTACAGTAGCTGGAGTTAGTTTCATGTCCTTGACTGAATTTAGAAAGGCTAGTGTGCCTTTTCTGGGGAGTAAAAAAAAAAGTTTTTCTGTGTTTTAATGAGCCCATATCCCACGGGTGAGACAGAATTCTGCTTCATCTGACATCCTGGCTGGAAATGGTTTTGAGAGCCCATCATCCAGAGTGTTGAGTGTGGGAGGTGAGTGTTTAGCCCATCCACTGGCTGTCTGAAAAGCTTTAGGATACTGCTGGCTTTCCCAGACTGTAATGGTAAGAGGAAAGTTAGAGGAATTTTCTCAGACCAGGGAGGAACCAGGGCAGCAGACACACGATGGATGACTTCTGTTGTATGTACAGGCTCCTTTTCTCTCATTGCTTTTTTTCTTCTCTCCAATCAGCCTGCAAGAGTGAGCATAAAAACCTGCGCACGTACCCTCAATCTAGAACTCATTCCTAAGGGGGCTGAGCAAGCCATATGCTGCAATCCCGCCATCAAGTTCTGTTTTTCGTGGAGGGACAGTTTGTATTGAGCACTCTAATACTTTGGAGAGGCTCAGGGAACAAGCAGACTAACTGCTGAGTAGTCTCAGCTTGGAAACTAAGAGCTACGTGCAGGATTTGTACAATAGCAGCACTCTGTCTACCTGAACCATCTAATTATAGACCGGGCTGTAGTTGAATTGCTCTAAAGTCTCACTGTCTGTAAACAACAGGCAGGCAGAAGGCTGGGGAAGAAAAAGAAGGTAAAAGTGAAAATGTTAGCAAATGAGCATGAGTGGAGAGGGAAAAAACTGCAATGAAGCTGTGCATCTGTTACGGGTGTCAGCTGAGATCACAGTAGTATGTGAAGGTGTGGATGAGGCAAGTTTCTGCCAGTTTACCCAACAACCCTTTCAATTAGCAGTAATTGGTTTTGCATACGAGTGTTAATGGTGCAGCCAAACCATTGGGGACCGATACAAATACGGTCACACCCGGCAGTTTGCAGGAAAACTAGGCACGGATCTGACCTGACTTTGATAAAAATGCAGTGCTCAGCTCCATGTAATGATGTCCTGTGCCGATGGTTTCTCAGCAACACACTGTTAATAGGTCGAATACAGAGCTACAGCTACTGTTGCTTGTGGAAATGAAAAAAGCATCTGCCTGTTAGCAAGACTGCGCAAAAGCTGCCTAGCTGAATATCAAGAAAGTTGATGAAGAGATGGCACAAAGGCGAAGAAAAAGACCATTGCATTTTGCCACACAACCATACTTTTGCTAAAATTACTGAATAAGCTGTTGACCTCACTTCTTGAGTTATGGCTCTGTTTAAATGCTGAAATAAAGGCCAGTTTTTCCTACACATAGAGGTCTGTTATAGCATACTGCAAAGTTTTGGGCAGTAGGAGCAAGTCGGGACGTTCTCAGACCTGAAATGCTGAGAAATGGTAGGAAAAGACTGAACCCTACATCTAAGTTGTGCCCTCTAAGGAACAATGTAGGTTTTTCTTTAGTAGATTTAAAAAAAATAATCCACTCTGCATTAAATATCGCCCACTCTCCAAGCCTCTACTTACCTTAAGCCTTCACCTGCCTTGTGACGAATGATGTTCTTAAATCACTTGCATAAGGTTTGGAAACATGTTCAGGTTAAAGTTGTGGTCTCCATTTGCGTTACAAAAACATGGAAGATATTTTCAGAGACGCAGTGAGGACATGCACAGTGTAAATACTTTAAGCCAGTGGCTCATAAAACATTTAACTCCCTGATGAAACAGAAACACAGGTCCCATTTATAGATTGCTATATTTCTTTTTAGATACCCCAGAAAAAAAAAAAACATGTCACAGGGGTTGGACGTGTCCACACGTGTGTACTGAATACATGTCTAGACTGGTGTCTCTTGGCTGTGGTCAATTACTTGTTTACATCATTACAAATAAACCAATCAACGCAGATTGGGAGTCATATGAAACCAGAGGTGACTGAACTGAACCCCTGGCGAGTGTCATCCACAGTGAGTGCTACGTGGACCTGCAGGGGAGGGTTTATATATTTAGGAGACTAACGGGAAGCCGTGCTGTGCTTGTTTATCTTGTCAGTCGTTGCAAAGAGCTCCAAAGGTAATGATGATTATGTGATCTGCTAGTCGTGACTGGAACTGAACCTCATGTCAGGAATAATGAGAAATGTTTAGAAATTGGCAAAGATAAAGAGGTGCTTTGTATTGTAAAATGACATGGAGAGTGAGTGGGAGGTAGTTATGTTAAAATGCAAGGGATAGAAACTGAGAGGCATCCAGGTTATCAAAATCATTCTTCCAAGCTCAGCAGTTTCCCTGTAAAACAATGTCATTAAAGTCATGTTGGCAGCATTTCTATTTTTACACAGTATTCATATTTAAAGTTCATAAAACTTTCACCCCCTTAGACATATAAGCAGAATCAATAATTGTAGTTTTGTCTGTATTCATTCTTATTCTTGCTAGCTGATGGTCAGTAGGTTGATTTGTTTACTCCCCACTTGGACTTGGTAGTTAAATGGTAGTTCAACTCTAAATCAATTCATTACGTTTTTTTAAAATTGCATTTACAATAAATAAATGTTATATTTATAAGGTTGGTGGTTTAAACCCTGGTTGTTCCAGTCAAATACTTTTGGGCGAAATGATGAAATCCAACTTGCTCTCCAATTCGTTCATCAGAGTGTGAACGTTAAAGGCACTTAAATGTCCAAAAAAGTGCTTGTGTGAATGCCGCATGTTGTATAAAGAGCTTTAAGTACTTGAGCAGAGTAGAAAAGCTTTTTATAAGAAGCAGCTGTTCGGTTGCTGTCTCTCGTAGGTCCTGGACTGTGTCTAACTATCTTGTCTCTGGTTGATTGTTTCAGGTTCAACTACAGGTCGACTCACCACCTCACCACAAATGGCTTCTATGAGTTTCTCAACTGGTTTGATGAAAGAGCCTGGTATCCTCTGGGTAGGATAGTTGGGGGCACGGTAAGTATTTTGTGTCTTCTGTGCATGTGTGTGTTTGTGTGCGTGGTGCGAGTCAGAGATGCCTGACTCAAGGTTATGAGGCACTGTGTGCACTTTCTGCCTGTACTGCACCTCTTTCTTTGTCCTTATTTCTCAAGAGTCACCTTATCATGATGAATCTTCCATCATCAGCTCACTTTAAACAGCGCACGCGCACACACACACACACACACACACACACACACACACACACACACACACACACACACACACACACACACACACACACACACACACACACACACAAACTAAAGCGTTGCTGGATGGCTAAACGGCTCCGAGGGGAAGCGGGGAGGTAAGAGCTTGTACGACACAGAGTGGATCTGTCTTCATAACCGCTAAAGGACAGACTGGCTCGAGTCACTTTTAACTCGTCATTACATTACAGCTCATCTCTGAGCGCCTGACTCCTCCTCTTCTCTATATTTATAACTTACGTGTGATCTCTCTGTATGGGTTATGGGCTAATCTGTTCCCCAGAGTGCACTTCAGTGCGTTCACATTATCAGAGAAAATAACAGCTTGAATGTGTTTTTGCATAATGTGACACTGGGAAGAGAAAATGTTCTACTGAAGCTATACAATTATAGTGGTGTGTGTGTGTGTGTGTGTGTGTGCAGTCTGTAGAAACAATGCGTTAGGGCTGGGCAGTCGTTTCCTTGTGAGATCTTTAGAAGGCGATACAATCACAGCTGGGCGAGAGGGGGAGGCAGAGGGTTCCAGTGCACCCATTAATTAATGAAATCTATACACTGTATGTCCCAGGAGGAGTTATGTGCACACCCACATTGCTTGAATGAATTATTTAATAAATATTGCTGTTTTTTTAGATAAGGCTTTAACACATTGAGTGAAATGGAAATAAAGATTTATGATATTCTGAATAAATTTGAACCCTCTTCCTTCTAGGTGTACCCAGGCCTAATGGTCACAGCAGGCCTGATCCATTATGTGCTCAACCTGCTGCACATCACTGTCCACATACGGGACGTCTGCGTGTTCCTGGCCCCGGTGTTCAGCGGCCTGACCTCCATCTCCACCTTTCTGCTCACGAGGGAGCTGTGGAACCAGGGGGCAGGACTGCTGGCAGCCTGCTTCATTGCCATCGTTCCTGGCTACATCTCCCGCTCCGTGGCTGGATCCTTTGACAATGAAGGGATCGCCATCTTCGCCCTGCAGTTCACCTACTACCTCTGGGTATGCCTGAATACTTCTTCAGCCTTGCCATAGTCTTATCACTCATACAGGGAATAATTAGAGTGTGAGGCTTTGAAGCACAACTCATGTCTTTTATTTAAAGCTGCATTAATCACTATTCTTAGATTAACAGTGAACCAAAGGACGTGAGGTACTGCTGCCCAGATTACTAATTAACAGCCAGCACAGCACTGACCTAGCCTCATGATCTGACTGAAGTCCATTTTATTCATGCCTCATTAAAATATGCCATAGCAGGGGCTGTATTTGCTCTGTGATAAATCTGATCCGTTGGTTGCTACTGGTTGCTAGGAGCAGGTGACTAAGAGATGGGCCAGTTTTCGAGCTGTTATTGCTGCTGGCTGAGTGACAACCATTTCTATGTTGTTTCTATGTTACTGCACTCATCTCATTCACACTGGTTACTGTGTTCACCATATTTTCTCTGGCATGTGCGCAAGAACATCATAAGCCTCGTTTTTTTGCCCTCCCAACAACAGCTGTGAATGGCATGGTTTTTCCAAGTGCGGAGCAGCTGTTGATGGGCTGGAACAGTAAGGTTGAGAGGTGACACGGAGATTCAAAGGCCCAGCAGGGTCATTCAGCCTGAGAGGAAAGATATCGGTTTTTTTTTTTTTCCACCTTTCACTTCATAAAGCTCTGATAAACCTAATGCTAACTGCCTTATACCAACAAACAACTAGCTGGTGAACACAAGGGAACATTTGGTGCACAAAAACGCTGCCCTGTGTCTGCTTGGTGTGGATGTAGGTTAACAGACTGCAAACACAGTCACCCAGGTAACGTCAAGAAGTCATGTGCTTTTAGCTTGTTTCCCTTTTAATAGACAGGTTCCAGTGTACTTTTACACTGAAGGTCCTTCACTCATTGATAGAACAAGTGCTTTTCTTTCAGTGGAGACTTTCCACCTCTTTAGCCGCTATGGAGTTATCTGAAAATGAAGCGGTAATACTTTGAAACTGTGCATGTTTCAAACCTTATTTTGGGGCTTTTTTTTTATGTTCCTCTGGGGACTCTGTAAATATAGTTTTTATTTCTCAGTGACCATGCCCATCCATTTAGACTTTAATAGTTGCTCAAACATCTCAGTGGCTGCCAAGTTGCAACACCTGCTGATGGACGTATGGTATCACTTTCAAAACTCACAAGTCTAAAAATGCATGCAAGATAAACCTGGACGTCTCTCTTGGGTTTCTGCGACTCGCTCAGCTCACTGAAAGACACGATTGTTTTGGAGAAAGCCTTAAATAACAATGAAAATAGGAAAAAAGCAAATGAGCTTGCCAAGTGTTAACATTTTGGCCTGAGATGGTTGCTTTCAGTCTCACGCTGCCAGGATTTTATCTCACGCCAAGTAAGAGGAAGCCTCAAAGCTGCTCATGAAAAAAACAGACATGTTAAACAGGACAAAGTCTGAGGATCTCATTTTTCAGCTTTTCACCACCAATGTTGGTCAATAAAAGTTATTTATTGGCAGAGGCAGGTCAAGCTACTTAAAGTTTATTAAACCCCTGCAGTGTGATGCAGCAGCAGGATTCATCCACAGTGACTTGTGGAGTTGTTAAATTGCCAGTGGCAGTGTGTTGACTTCGGACAGGGGAGCTGTCACTCAGGGTCGCTATTTAAGAATTCAATGTGTGAGTTAACAGAAAACTAAACGCATTCAATGCATTAGAACTGGTTTTGTAAATGTTGTAGCAACGTCTGAATGAAGCCCTGAGGCACCGACATGTGACCCGTGTGTGGGTGACAATGCCATCGCTTTATCAGACTGATGAAGCCAGCAGTGTTATCTGTCCCAGGATGAGAAGGGCTTAAGCATCTTTCTGCTTCTACAGATTATTCCTCACACTGGTCCTCAGCGATTTGTCCACATGGGCAAATGGGCTAATGTTATTCTTACTAAAGACCATCACCATGACATTTCAAGCATACCATTGAGATTCAGAGGACCCCTTTATCCCTGTTAAAGAGCCCTGAAGTCACTGTTAAGTGGTGGAATGGAAAGATGGGGAATACTAGAACAAGAACTGATTTCGGTTTCCTGGATTCAGGCAAGTCTGAAATAATTGCACCATGAATAAATCACACACATACTTAAGTACACATACAGGCTTTTGAGGGCTTAGTAGATCTGCTCTAAGTGAAATACAGAATAGCTTAATAGTCTCCAGTGAATGCTCCTCATTCTCCTTTATCATCTTGTTTCCCCACTTGTTCACTTGTCCTCAACTTTCATTCAGTATCTGCTCTTCCTCCATCCACCACATCTCATTGGTTCGGCTCCATCATCCGTGCAGCCAATTGCAACAGCTCCCACCTGAGCCTTCGTTAAGTCAGGGCTCGTTAGCCTCGTTAGGCCCTCGTTAGCAGCTGCTGTGTCCTGCTGTGGGCAAGGTAAAGATCTGTAGGACACGGTGGTCTGCTTTGTGTGTGGGTCATTAAAGAGGCAAACATGATGAATAATTCAGACTATCATGTTGGGCAAGCAGCAGTAGAGCAAAATCATCGAGGAAAGAAACAGCGAGCAGCACAGCTTAGTTAATGGAAGGCTCTGATTTACATTTGTGTGTGTGTGTGTTTGTGGGGTTAATGCTCTCTGGTGTACACCGCAGGTGAAGTCTGTGAAGACTGGATCAGTTTTTTGGGCCATCGGATGCTGCCTCTCCTACTTCTATATGGTGAGAACTCACACGCACAAACACACACAGATCCTTTGTTATAATTGTGACACTTTGCTGGTAACACTTGTGTTCTAATATGGCAGGAGGATGGAAATCATTCATGAATGTTGTTAGGACTAAATGTGCAAATGCAGAAGTGTTAAAGGTCATTGTTTACTATTCCTCGTACCTCCGTGTGTGTGCTTTATGAGAATGTTTGGCATAATCAGGAATATTTTCTTTTATTGTTGTGCAGTAGTTTGGAAATTTAAACCAAAGGCCTGGTCCCATGGCTGCCTTAGTGCTTCCATTTCTGACGTATATAAACAGGATGTCTTGAAGCCTTCTCACCGTGCAAAAGAAAATATTGTAGATATTACAAATTTAATTGTATTTATATAGCACTAAATCACAACAGCAGCAGGCACTTTATATTATAAGATAAAGACCCGACAATAATAGAAGATGCCCTATGAGCAAGGACTTGGCGACAGTGGGAAGAAAAAACTCTGAAGATGCTCCTGGCAGAACCAGGCTCAAAGAGGGGCAGCCATCTGCCACGACCGGTTGGGGGTGAAGGGAGGGAGACGGGACGAAAGACGCACTGTGGAAGAGAATCAGATTAATAACAACTAATGATTAAATGCAGAGTGGTGTATAAACGCAGAGTGAAGAAAAACCGCTGTGCATCATGGGAAGCCCCCAGCAGCCTCGGCAGCTTAACTAAGGGATGATTCAGGGTCACATGATCCAGTTGTAAGCCAAACACTTTGGTTCTCCTTTAAAATATGACTATAAAAGGTAGCAGGCGATAACTCTTAGATTATGATGGCTTCTTTTAACTTCTGTTAAACGCAGGTGCCACTGGTTAACTCTTTTAGCTTTCATTGGCTCCTGTTACCTACCTGGTTAGCTAGTTTCATCGAATGGCAGTCGGTGCCTTAGCACGCCCTGAATTTCTCCAGACGTCTTCCGCAGTATTCGAGTTTGTTATATGGTTGGTTTGTAGTTGATTTAAGCTGCTTATTAATTTTAGCGGTAACCTACAATAGTTATTAATACACACACGCATAAAATGATCTTTTTTTAGTTAGCGGTGTCATTGTTATGTTCTGCCCCTGGCTGAAAATAATTGGAAGGGGTTCAGCAAATAGCCTCTAGCCCAACTTCAGCATTTGTAGTCCAAGGCTCAGTTTGAGCACAGTTCCTTAGAGAGAGTGATTCTGACACTTGATAAGGACGGGCCCTGAACCTTAAACTGAAAAGGAGAGCAACTTGTGGATCGCAGAGTCACTCTGAATCACTGTCAGTGCACATCGCCGTGCCCTTCACAGAACTGTTGCAGCAGTTATGATGTCCATCAAACTTTGTTGCACTCGAACCACTGGGAGCCATTTTCATCAGACGAAGACATGAAAAATGTCCTCGGGAGAACCGTTCCCTTAATCTGCCCATCATTCACGTCAGAATGTGAAGAATCACCTCGTGCCGTAAACTGTGACGCCGCTTCACTGGCAGCCGCTCGCTGCCTGGCAGCTACATGACACTTTGAGACGAATCAGAACAAAGCTTGAAAAGGGTTGCGTGTGTGTGCATCTCTGTTCTGTGCACGTGTGTCTGTGTGTTTGTGCTTCTGAGGGGTTTGTACCAGCAGCATAATGTGAATGCCAGTCGTAATGCTGAAGCTCATAATGATTTCACAGCTCACAGGTGGGCTGTGCAGCTTTGCACCCTCCTCCTTATTGCAAAGCGTCTCATTATTGAAGTGAATAAAAGAGAAAACACAGTCACTCTTTAGGGATTCGTGGGCCAGTTATACTTCTACTGATTATCTGCTACAGTCGAAAGCATTGTACACATTCAGCGGGGATAAGCTAGCCATGTAGCAGTCTGTGTATGTGTGGAGGTAGGCCTTTCTGCATGCATAATCCAAATGATTCCGCCCCGCCATTAATGAAAGCTTTGAATTAATTAAAGTGGGCTCATTAAATGTGTTTTTTGACAGGTTTCTGCTTGGGGTGGTTATGTGTTCATAATCAACTTGATTCCTCTTCATGTGTTCGTCCTGCTGCTCATGCAGCGCTTCAGTCGGAGAGTCTACATAGGTGAGATGCAGCAAAAACACACACACAAACTCATTTACATTCATTCGAGAGTGGGAAGCGACGACTTGAGGGTTTGCAGTTGTGCTCATTTGATGTTGACTTTATGCAGAATCAAGAGAAGATGTAGGGGTGCATTCAGCAGCTATGCACACACAGGCTCTGCTTTCTCTCCTTGAAAAGACTTTCAGGCCCAGCACATGTGGGGATGCCACACAGAAGACCACGTGCTTCTTTTTCATATCTGCGCTGCATAAACACAGTTACTAATAATTAACACCATCCACTAGCAACTGATGTTCAGTTTACACAAATCCCCCAGAGAAGGGCAGATAGGATCTGGGATAAAAGTGCGGGACTGAAAGTGGAAATGCAGGCAGGCAGAGGAAAGATTAAAGTGGTCTTCCTTTCAAAGAGCTTGCGTCGTCACACACTCCTGAGCTCGCCGTGCTCTGACTCTGATGCCACATCACCGTGCTGTTGTTTCAGATTGAACTCGGTAGCTGAGCTCATGATCGTTTGGAAGTGACATGTGGATATGCACAGACAAACTGGTGAGGGGAACTTGGTGGGAAAGCTGTGAAGTGTGGAATCAGAGAAGCCATACTGACTAGTGGCTGAACTCAGGACAAGTATAGAAAGAGAAGGCTAAAAGTAGAGATGAGACGGGGCGACTGTTGGGTTTTGCATCCTCCAATAGGATTATTGGCAGAATGAATAATTTAACATGGCGCTTTCCTCCCTTGGTCTCTCACCTCCTTCATCCTCCTCCCCTCACCTCCTGCGTCTGTCTCTCTCTGAAGACCAGCACCGTACATTCTGCTTGCAGCAACACAGTAATTGAGTTAGTTCAAAGCTGTAATAGCTCGCTGTGTTCTGTGATGCATACCTTGTACAGTGATTTGCAGTCCAGTCTGTGGCCCGCTGTCACACCCCAAACCCCGCTCGCTTCATCTTTCCTGTCTTCCAAAGCAGAAAAGCCGTAATGAAATCCAGCTGAAATTTCGTTATGAGCAGTGCGTCCTCTGTAGCTGAATAGAAACCCACTCAGATTCCTCTTTTTCTCTATCGGACTCAGCTTCTCACTCAGTGCTCGTCTTGAGTCGGCATATTGCTCAGCATCTAGAGAGCACGCACTGTGTGCGTCTTTATCAGAGAAGGGTAAAGTGTCAGAAATAGATCACATATATTGATCTTTTATTTCTTTATTTTTGCTTGATGTTAAATAATGCAGAGAGATTTAAGTAGATGCCACAGTGGTGGCATACACTTTTACCAATAAGAAACTTGTTTACGCAAAGTCAAAAATCTAATTAAATAATAGAGTATATACTCTGTGACATAAGCAGCTGCCTCTGTAGAGAGTGCATGGGCTTGAATTTGGTAGGATAGACCACTTCTCCATGTGATGCAGGGTCTGGTTATAGCGTCCTTCCAGCTGGAGAAATACAGTTCCACCTAGGGCTGTGCAATATGACGAAATATATCGGATGACGAAATTAAAACATCCGTCGTTTCACATTATACGCTATCGTTTGTTTCATGGTGACGCAAAATACACTGTTTATGGTAATATTTTTTTATTGTTTGGATGGTCACCGTGTGGATGCAGGCACAGAGAATACTAGCATGGCCACTGAAGATGAGGCAGAATCAGGTAGCTCCAAACAGAAGGAGCAAGAGGCTACCTCTGTAGCATGGACATGGTTTGGTTATGAGAAGTCTGACACGGACCAGAAAACTATGCAAATTATGCCGCAAACCGGCCGCCACCACAGACTCAAACATGACAAACCTCTTCTACCACCAACGCAAGAGTCACGTGAAAGAGTAAGGAGAGAGTTTGCGGATGAGAAGCAAAAAAGAGCCGTCAGGTACTCAAACTAAACCTTACACGCAAACATTACATCGCGCCACGCCATGCAATAAAGACTCACAAAGAAAATGGCGGCCGTTACAACTTATGTCTAAAAATGTATGGGTTCATGCATGGGTCATAAAAACTCGACTCCAGGTACACAGCGCCCGGCTGATATGATTGTGATCATATCACACATATCGGCCCCAGTTCCCCCGGCTATGGAAAGTTTTGCCCAACTTCAAAACAACAGACTTTCTGGAGAAGTGGTTAAATGATATGAAGAACTGACACAACAGCAACGTGAAGGCTGGGGCTCGCTGGTACACAGCCACTAAATTTCCAAAATAAGAGCAAAATAACACTTTAAGTAGTTCACTAATAAACGAGTCAAGACTCAGGCAAATATAGAATAAAAAGTGACAGCCATTAATATACCTGGGAAGCACACTCTATATTGCACCAAGCACCAAAACAGCCACCTTAAGCTGCTGTAAGGTAAAGACTCTACAGTAATACACAGTGGTGTGATAGTAATGTCTTTGAGATGGATGTGTGCCTGAATATTTTCTTATGTAAGGTTCCCAACAGTTTATCAGTGAAAGCAGCTCCACCTATCAGAACAGAAAGCATGTGCTTTATATACATATTAGTGTAGTTCTGTATTTCCACTTTATGTGACTTATAAGGTCATTAGGTACAGCTATTATCAAACACGGAGCCCTGCTCCAAGTCTGTCTCTGCTAAACTTAATCTGTTCGCTTTTAATCAGCATCAGAATCATAAAAGCCCTTCTCAGTGTGATGCAATACACTCCCAGCAGCTACAGCTTTGAAAAACACACCGTCGTGTTGAATCTAATTTATGTCACAATATCATTTTTACAAAGGATTTCTTTCAAGTCTAATTCTGTTTGATCACAGTAGACTGTACGCGCATCAATGTTTCAGCTCAGTGCATCAGCGCGGCTAGAGCAAGGTGTTTCCTTACATTAATTTACCACAGCAGTTGGTGAATCAGATCAGGCCGGCATCAGCAGTCTTTGTTTCCATTTTCCTCGTCCATGATAATGTTACCGTCATCAAAAGACAGTCACGGTGGGAGATTGATCGAGTCAGCGACCAAACAAGCTGCACTGCTTTTACATGGAAATATAAAGTCTGCTTTGTGGGCCCACACGTGGGGGATCTCTAGAGCACTGCCAGAGGAGGAGAGGAAATGTACATATCTGATTGGATAGTTGAACATTTGAACTTCCTGTTCCTCTTTGTTCCCTTCAGTTGGGTCAAGGCAGCTTGAATATTAAAAAGAAAACTGAGTGTATGTATGTCGGAGTGAGACATCTCTCGGTGCAATAGCAATAATAATCATGTCAGCTTGTGAAGACAGCAGTGGGGGGCTGATGTTTGATTCCTTTCTCATGAACAAATTGGTGTAGAACCCAACCACCTCCCTCCACACACCCCCACCCCGCACATCCCTTAGATGTGCTTTTTTGAGGCTCAAGTGGAAATTGGAATCCTTACTATTGTTACAGAGTGACAACCACATTATGTTTTCTCCTGGCATACAGCAACAATTCACTTAATGTTCTATTTAAATACATCGACTGCTTAAACTAACATTGTGCAGGACATCACTGTTTTCATCATTGATTCTTGTTTCCTGTCCATTCAGTCAGTTTGGTACAAGAAATCTCCTTTATGGATTCACTGCAAGTGTAGCCACGGTAAACATGGTTTAAAATATGTATGCCTCAAAGATATAAAGGCCTGGATGATCTGTCCTCTTCTTTGCAGATTAGGTCAAACTTGAGGTTATTTGGCTCTAAAAATATCAAACAGTGTCTGGAGCAGGAACATGAAGATTTTGCTCCATAGAGCAGCATTAACAGCCACAAAGCCACTCTGAAGCGCTCCTGTCCCCAAGTGTTCCCTGGCCTAATTATTAAATGCAGTCGAGGGGTGTACCTAAGCTGCAGTAGAGAAAGCAAGACACCCACACAGTAGGCTGTAGGTGATTATGTGCAGCTGCAGAGCCTACAATATCGTGACATGAGGCAGTAGTCTGTGATGGCAGGCCACCAAACGAGCTTGGAGGAGAACGAGGCAAACCCCCATCGTCTTGTTGTTCTCCAGTGTTAGTGAGGATTTTTACATTGTGGGCACACCTTGATCTTAAATGGGCCCGACCAGGGAAACTCTCCTTTCTGCCAGTGTAAAGAAGTTCAACTGCACATTTATTTCCTGAGATATCATAATATAAGATGGTGTGGATGGTCGTTGGGAGGTCTGTCCTACTAAACATTTGTCAAAGCTGTTCAGTGGGCCAGTATTTGACCAGTCGATTCTGGCCCACGGGCCTTATGTTTGACACCCCTGCCTTAAAATATTAAGCTCCTCCAAATAACTGATGTTGTGATCTGGAGCTGTACAAATAGAATATAGAAACAAGTATAGAAACATGAGTCAGATGGCTCTAGCAAGTGCACATTCTCAGCTTGCGTGTTAGCCTGTTGTTTCATTAGCTGTGTAGTGCAATTTTTTATTTTTTTTATTAACTAGCAGGACTTGTTTGGAGGCTTTTATTCCTGAAGCTCTGTTTAAGTGTGTCTGATCCCTGAGCGCTCATTTGAAATGGTTTTCAGGTTTAGTCGACATATTTTACAGCCTGTTGTCTGGTTGTGCCGCTGACTCCCAAGTGTGTAAATCATTTGAACTCTTAAGTCGCTCTTACACTGTCATTCATAATTTAGGCTCAAAAGGCCTTCTTTGTTTCTTTCTTTTTCTTGTGTTCAGCGTCAAGGACTTTTCTGGGTTTGTTTGCAGCTCTTCTAAAATCACAAACGCCATTTCTTCTCAGGCTCCATCTTTCTTTGAATCGCAGACATTCTGTTTCATTTATTCACATTACCAACACATTCCCCAAGTCTCTGGTAATTAGAAACACAGTAGCTGCCACAGATGCATTTGTGCATGTTAAACAGGAACACGTTTTTTTTAATTAAGATTAATGTGCCAGTTGTAGGTCCTTCTGTCCAGTTCAGGTTTTCTGTATGATGTAAATTGTGTGCTGCCTCATGTGATGAAGTACTTACATCTGTGAGATCTGTACAGTGTTGTTTCTGCAGTGAAAGGTCATTCTGTCATTGTGAACGGCTCAAATGAAAGCCTCTGCTTACCCACTTCTTACACTGGAAGTTGCCCGGAGCGCACTGATTCTTAATGACACATAAAAAGACGTCGCAAATACCAAGTTTAGTTTCAGAGGAAAAATAAAAAAGGGGATGCGGTTTGATTAATAGCGGTTTGTTTTCAGCTGTGGTGGTTTGCAGTGCTGTAATGAGTGTTTTGTGCAGCTGCATGGAATTTGTGGAACTGAGTTAAAATAAACTAAAATTATTGTATGATCAGTACAGTGAAGGATTCTGTCAGCAAATGTGGGGCTCAGAGGAACCGGATAGACTTGCATGTACACGCTGCGCTTGTTAATAGAATCTATTCATCAGTTGGCCAGTGTGCTGACTGGATTAGATTCAGACTGATGAGTGAAAGTAAACACATGTAACACAGTTGACTGTGCTCATCTGGTCTTAACTGGTTGTTGTCTTCCTGCAGCCTACAGCACTTTCTACATCATCGGCCTCATCCTGTCCATGCAGATCCCATTTGTGGGCTTTCAGCCAATCAGGACCAGTGAACACATGGCTGCAGCAGGTCAGTAACCAGTCACCTGGGGTAAGGGTGGAAAGTATTGTTGGAAGTTGTTTACTGCAAAGCTATGGAGCAAGTCAGGTTTTCTAACATTCAGCAGAATCATTTTTATACTTGCAAAAAAAATCTGCACTACTCTCATGCTTTGTCAAACACTGCACAGTATGCTAAAAGCTAGATTTCTACTGTGAAGGCTGAAGTGTAGATTGAATGCACGTCTTGCCTATGATGTTTGCTCATTTCCATGGAAGCATTTGCTTTGCGTGCTCTAAAAAAAGATGTAATTATCTGCAGCTTCATTTTTACTTTGTCAGATACAACTTCTCGGTTTGCTTCTCTTCTGGTGACTTTAAACAGTTCTGCATATATTTTCTGGTTGTGTTTATTTCAGATCTTAAACCCAGTCTTGTTTGCACTGTCTCTGCAGGTGTGTTTGTGCTGCTACAGGTCTACGCCTTCCTGCAGTACCTAAAGGACAGACTGACCAGGCAGGAGTTCCAGACTCTCTTCTTCTTGGGAGTCTCTCTGGCTGCTGGAGTTGTTTTTCTCTCTGTCATCTATCTGACATACACAGGTTGGTTATCTATTAGAAGGCTGGTTGTTTATTTGACAATGTGTAGTAAAGATAGATAAATATGTGGCGAGAAGCAGAGAAATGACATGCAGTAAAGTTTAATCTAAGTTTGTTTTTTTTAGTGCTGAGAACATCCTATGTTATGTTAACAATTTGGAAATGCAGTCACTCCAGAAAGATTTGATAACATTGACGACCCTGGTCTAAATACTGTATCTTCCTATGGGAACGCTGCCCTGGTGTCACTGATCATGGAGGTTCCACTAACACCATGTGTGTCTGAAGGCAGAGCCCTATCCACTTTAATGACACGTGTTCACTTTTACAACAGTCTAATTCCAAACGGTGCCCATTCCTGATGGTCCATTCAACCGTTTGTCCTCACAGGTGTCAATGCAGTCTGTGAACATGGACCTTCTGCTGTCAGGATATACACGTTCCTGTGTAAATGATCATGCAGAGGCCAAAAAATCTCGGAAAATCTGCACGATATTTGGCTCCTGCTTAGTAAAGTATCAAAACACTAATAGTTTCACTTTATTTCCAAATCTTCTGGTTCTTTTTGGTCTTGCACTTGCAGGTTTTTACTTGGATGTGCAGATTTTTGCTCTTTGCCTGGAGAGAGCTGTGACGGTGGTCTCAGTGGGCACTGGGACACAAACTGGACATAGAGACTCATCAGTGTAAAATTCTTTTAAAGCTTTGGGGTTTTTGCTCAAAAGTGATTTAACTAGCTTTTCCCAAGCTCATGCTTATATGCTGTGCAGTTTTACAACATTTTGCAGTTCGTGCTGGGAGTAGGGGCAGAATGTGTCATGCAGCTGCAGTCTTTGGCACATTTTCCCATAATTCAGTTTTTCAATTCAATTTTATTTATATAGCGCCAAATCACAACAACAGTCGCCTCAAGGCGCTTAAATACATAGTGACAGCCTAATACAGTCTTGTTGTGTATTCCTTATGACTGCAGACTGTATACAAAGGGATGGATTTTTACACATACAATCCTATAATTACATAATATTTCTGTTTTCATGGTAAGACATGGTTATTAAGACTTGACAGAAGCTATTCTTGAGTTGGCTAGTCACTCAGTTCCACGTGTGTGCAGCATTTAACATATCTCCAAAGGGTAATGATAAGTCAGAACAGCATGGCGTTAGTCTGGGATTTTTCATGAGCGGTATAAGGAAGTAATGTCCTGTTACACAGTCCATCGCTATTAGGGGAAAAATGATGCTGTGAGAGGAACGACACAAGAACGACTGAGCAAACGTGATTGTGATGGCAATTTCCATGATGGAGCCTTTACTCTGTCAGAGATAATAGTTCTGCTTTCTACGGATGAACTGTAATCAGCACTAGAATGAAAGCGAATAGGCAGGTCATTCAGCTGAAATGCACTGCGCTGCACAGGTGAGCTTTTCTAAATCACTCTGTTCTGACACATCAGGGCTAAGAAATCTCTCACTATATCATTAGGCTGTCACTCTCCTCTGTGCCGCAGAGTGCTGTTGAAGCGCGTGGCATTACACGGGGAAGTGGCTCTCTTACTTCATGGATCTCAGTTGGTGTGAATGGGATGGACAAAAAAGTAGGAACGCTTGTCAGTTCAGAAGAACCATTAAAAACAACCTCAAATGATCACACAGTTGAAATCAGTCCTCTCAGAGCATTGTAATCTTGTTGAAAGGAGAACCTGACCGATAGGATGGATTCACTAAGAAAGATGTAATGGACCAAAAACTGCATTGTAGTGTGATTGACTTGGCTTTATGCAGTTCCCCTGAAGGTACTTTTAGTTGCTTCACATGGCTTCACCACATCAGATGGTTTCCAATCCTCTGCAGAGATGTCGTTTTCCAAATCTTAGTTCCACACATTTAGCTTTATAAACTTTGGATGTTATTTCTCTATCAGTCTAGTGAGTGAACATCTGTGTATAACTTTAAATTTAAATTTAAATGTATGCCTCAGTTTTTCAAAGGACTTTGACCTTAGAGTTTGAACAGTACAGATCTTAAATCTTTCGGGAGCCTAAACAAGACAAATACATGTTCTTCAAATGTAACATCTGCCAAAGCCAGCATCATGTTTGTCTGCTTAACAAAAAAGTCTGAACTTTTTTTTAAGAAAACAGATGATACTTTACTTTTGCATGAATTGTGATCCCAGAAAAGATCGTAGGATCCTTAGATGAAATATTTAAAAGATGTGGACATGACTCTGGAGTGTAGTGGTTTACACGTTCGCCTAACAAGTGAAAGTTTCAGGAGCGGCATCTGGTTTAAAAATCTGTCAAATCACACATGCGGCGCTGCCCTCTGACCCCCACTACAGAGGGAGCAGCAGCTTTCCTTATTAAAATGTCACAGAAATATAATTTATAATTGAATCGTAAATTATAAGTATTTATTCTGGGGTCTTATGTAATAAGACACTGTGCAGCTTCTTTATAGTGGGCTTACGCACGTCCTATTATGTTACACATACTGTAAGTTTGATGGATGTGCAGAGACCCACCAACTTGCTGTTCAAACCTTCTTCTTGCATGGGATGAAAAATGGGATGAATGTACAATACATAAGGATTGATTTGACCTGTGAGTTTTGCAAGTCTTTGACAAATGTGCTTTATTACTTTGTACCCGAAATCACCTGAACCTTTAGTGCCATTAGGTCTTCTTTGGATACTGAGTGCAGGCCAGGTAATTATAGCCCTCATCTAAGGTCATTGAGATGCTTCGTGTAAAACAATAGCGCTCTCTGACTGGAATCAGTAAGACAATAGAAGCACTGATCTATTACCCGCATAGAAAAGGACCACCTGCTGGCTCTCTAACGGCGGTGATTAGTTTCCCTGCTCTCATTTATCATCGCACCGCCCACATCAGAGAGTAATTTCATGATCGATACATGCAGGAGGAGCGTAGCGGACCAATTAATTGTTCCACCGGTGTGTGACAGAATACACAGATCACTGACCGTCCACAGCCATGTGTGGATGTGAATGTGAATACATTGTGAGCAGGGTTCAAGTTCATATGGATGTTGTGTGTTCCTTTCTCAGGTTACATTGCTCCATGGAGTGGGCGTTTCTACTCCCTCTGGGATACCGGGTAAGCCAAAACTCTGTAGTAGCACAGTTACTCATGCAGGTACAGTCAGTCAGTTTCACAGCAGATTTATTCCACACTGATTTACCATGAAAATCTCATTTATTCAGCTTTACTCCATCTCACAGCATGTGTGTTTTTGTGTTTTTTTTCCTCTCATGCAGAGAGACAAAAGTTGTCACTCAGTTGTAGAAATCACTGCATTTTTCAAGTAGCGTCCTCACCTTTAAGCCAAATTAAATGCATTACAGCAAAGCAAATGCCGTAGCCTTGCCTCCCCCCTCATTCTAGCTCCCAGAATTTATTTATTTATTTATTTTTTTGCCATTGGCGAATCAAGTCAGCACGTCATCCTGCCCCATCATAAAATCCCAACCAGATAATGCTCCCCTTCTCTGCTCCCAGATCAGGGCTTACAGAGAACTGCCAGACTGCAGCATCAGCTGTAAACTGCAAAACTCTCACTGAGTGAATGTGCACATGGGTGTGTGTATATGTGCGTGTGTACGTACATGCCTCAGTAATTTTTTTTCCAGTTTTTTTTATTTTTTATTTTTTTTGAAGGGTGTTAAGTTTTCTGCTGCAGTGCAGTAAAACTAATTGGGTCACGCTCGGACCCAAGATAACTGACATCAGCCAAACCTGATTCTCTGCTGTCTGCATGAGCTCTCACATGTTCACCATCAACACCGTTGCTTTATTGGTGTGAGTCGGGTGGATGTTAACTGTTCTGATTGACAACAGTTCATATAGAGTTTATAGAGACCCCCTTTTTTCACTTCCTTTTATTAACTGTTTTATTTCCTGCGCTCTTCACAGCTATGCTAAGATCCACATTCCAATCATCGCTTCGGTATCAGAGCACCAACCCACCACCTGGGTGTCCTTCTTCTTTGATCTTCACATCCTCGTCTGCACCTTCCCAGCAGGCCTCTGGTTCTGCATAAAGAACATCAACGATGAACGTGTCTTTGGTAAGAACAGAATAAATAATTTTTTTCCCCTAAAACGTGGAGCACTCCTCATCGCTTGCTCTTAGTGAAATGCTTCTGTGTGTTGGTTTAAAATGACTCTATCTTCTGTCAGGATTATACAGCGTAATTTATTTGAAGTCGATCCTCTATTTTTGTTGCCACTTTTAAAGGAGACATGTGGCTCATTAGCATTAATCTTTCCACAGAAGCACTTAGAACAGACTCCTTTTTCACTTATTCTTGCAAACTTGGTGGCACAGGTGATTGTGTTGATGCTAAAACCACCTGTTAGCCCTGAGTAACAGCTAATCTTGATCTCACCTGGTAATGGTGAGGGTAGGAGCTGTCTGAGCTGGTGTAAAAGTCCAGCATTGAAGCACCAACCAGACAAGAAATATTGGTGGATCTCTGCTCTTTATTTTTCATCCTCTGTCCGTCGTTACTGTTCTTGAGTCTGTTCAGAGCTCCTCCCGCTACCTAGCTAGCTAGCCTGGCCACCAGCTGTGTAATTGTAAGCTGTGCAGTTATTGTTAGGATTGTTAAAAGGATATGCGGAGAGGTGCAGGAAGAAGACAGCAGAGTATACAGAAGGTGGATGTGCTCGGTAAACTGAGTAAAAGCATGACCGGTAAGCTCCAAAGGAAGCTACAGGATGTCCTCCAAGTTCTGTTGTCTTACGGTGATGTACTGTTGCATATTGCTGCACATGGGTTTTTGATGGTGTTGAGCTACAGAATTTGTACAGTGCTGTGTATGCGTTCACTTTCCGGTTACTGTACCTGCTGTTTACGGTGTTGTGTGACCACTGGAGGAAAAATATTTTCCCCTCACAATACACGTAAAGGTAAATGCACCCTTTTCTCTGCAGAGAATGTAAAAGTGTGATTGTGATGTAGTATGCAGAGCAGCAGTCAGTTATCCTCAGAGACGCATTCTTTCATCAGCACACACACACTTTACACATTACGCATAAATGAAAAGTTTGAGGTGAGTCCCATCTTTTTTCAGATTATCTCTAATTTTGTCTTCATGCGTGAGCTGTTTTGTTGAAGATGAACTTCAGAAACATTACAAGGACTGTGCCAAAGCGATAAAGAATAACTATAATAAGGTTCCATTATGCACTGGAGAGCCATCAATGTGTGCAGTGCTGTAACAGATGAGTTTTGATGGCTGGCTGGTAAAATAACCATCAAATCCCTTCTGGAAGCTTTTTAATCTGTTTCTCTTTGAGTCTTTCTGACACTGCAAACAATAAGAAATGCTAATCTGACAAATACATGCTAGCAGAGTGATGCAACTCTTAACAAGGCTGATTTAAGTATTTCAAATGTGGAGGCATTTCATCAAAGTCATTTAGAGAAGATGACTCATGACAAAGTACTTAATATATTAATATCATTTATGTAGCTCAAGTAAACGTTGTTCCTTTTAATAGGCTCATTTAATGTCCATCACCTTTAAATAGGAGCCGTCTTTTGACTTGAGGATGAGCGCTCACCCTAACAACACAGTTGCACAATATTCCTGACCCGAGTGCACCACAGTTTGCCTCCTGCTATTTACTCAGTCGATATCTGCAGGCTCACAAAGTCCAGTGAATGTGTTTTTTTACTTCTGTGGCTTCAGCAGCAAAGTTCTCAGTGAGGAGCAAACACTGTTCTTTACTATTCACACACTGAGATCCAGAGCTGGCAAAAGTGCAGACATTCTGTACTTGAATAAAAGTACGAATACTACTGTTAAAAATACTCCAGTAAAAGTTGAAGTACTTATTCAACTTTTGTACTCAAGTAAAAGTAAAAAAGTACAGGCCTCTAAACGGGAACTTGAGTACAGTCAGGAGTTAGTTGATTCAGCAGAGGTGGAATCCTAAAATCAGTTGTATTGGCTCAGTGTGGGGAAAAGAATCACACTCTCAATAATTACTATTGAGAGCTTCAGTAGATTTTCTTAGTGTACAGGCTGTGATCAGCTGACCTGCTGCTCTTTGTGGAAGTACACAACTCAATTCAACCAGATGTCAGCAGATGTTTCATGACTTTTCCTGGCTGAAGTCCATCCTCTACGTATCTACACATCCTCTTTGTCTAAAACCTGCAGGACACCGGCACCTAAGTCCTGGAGTTGCCTACCCCTGCTCTACACTGACAGTACGCTGTTTATGCTCTCTGTTTTCTAGATGGTATAAAGGTGGAATTCAGTGAATTCATCTAAGCATCATCAGCTAAAAATCCATATGAATCTCTGCTACACTTAATGTAACCTAACTCTGACCATAACCACAGTCACTGTGCACCAGCCACACACTGTTCTTTATTTTAAATCCATCACAGTACCGCAAACTAACCTGGTTATCCTTCACTAACCTGCAGAGGATTGTTATGCAACTATTAAATAACACAGTTGGTCTGAAGTGTTGTGGAAGTTTTCCATTATAATAAATCCTGCAGAGAAGCGGTGAGCGGTAGCTAACAATCTTTAATCACAAACAAAGAACAGAAAACCAAGCTTGGTGAAGAGCCTGCATGATCGTGGGGCAGACGGTCAGCAGAGTCTCCCCTGAGCCCAGCATGGCTCTCAGTTAAATACCTTCTCCAGGAACAAAAGGCAGTACACAGCTGTTCACACCTTAAGGTTCACACTCCCTTGCTACCTCCCAAAGATGTGGAAGAGACAAAAGATTCTTCCAGTGGAGTTGTCTGCTTCCCCCAACTTCCTTACCAGACCCCCACCATCTGTCTACCTGCATGAGTGTGAGAAGTGCTAAAATTCAGTGGCACCAAGGCATCACACAATACAATAATGTGATTAATACATAAATAAAAGAAATTGTTATACAGAAGTTAGCTGTGCTGTGAAATACAGCAGCTGGAACTTTAGTTAGCAACTCACATAAAATGTAAGGAGTAGAAAGTAAAAAGAAAAGTAAATACTAACGTAAAGTACAGATACCTGAAAAATGTACTTAAGTACAGTCATGAAGTCTTTGTACTTCATTGCTTCCCACCTCTGTTGAGATCCAGTCAAATGCTCGAGTGCCCCTTCCTGAGATGTTGTTGACAAAGAAGAAAGCTTTCACCGTTGCACTCTGAAGGCTTTCATGTAACTGTCAGTCAGGTGGAATTTGGGCTCTGGATAAATGAATATCACCCCAATCTGTCCCAGGTTTACTCATTGTTATTTTACAATTAAAAGCTCAATAAAACCTGTCACTCTAATGCAGGAACTCTCACTTTGGTAATATAGAGTGCATTACACTGGTGAGCATCAAGCTGCTAGCTGAGCAATAAAAGCACAGATTAAACTGCACCGGGCTTGATGGAGCTTTCAGTCACACCCTCTGCTCTCAGCTGGAGTTGAGATCATTCTTCCCCCAGTTGTTCTGCCTTCTGCATTTTGTATGTTGTTCCCCATCAGTTTCTAATGAAATGCCTTCGTTATTAGAAAGAAAGGCACCACCATGCACAGGTATTATGTTAATTAAATCATTTATTATGCAGATCCTTGCTGGATCTATAAAAATACACATTCTGCCTTCTTATTAATCTTTTTCTTTCAGTAGTACTAGCTCACAGCTTACTTAGTTTTGAGACCCTTCGGTTATCAGCCTGCCCTGCTGTGGAGGGGATGGGAGACGTCTGCTTTGTTCCCAAGTCTGATGACATCCGATGGATCAGTCAGAGCTTATTGAGTCGTAACAACTCAGAATGATGACTGCTGTGGCTCATATAGTGACCCATTCCAGAGAGCCAGGGTGGAAAAGCCTGGCGCAAACAATAAGTAAATAAATGTAAAAAAAACTTTGCTACAAAGCTTCTTTTTGTGCCATGTTGCTAAGCTAGAATGTAAGTGAAGTCTCTGGTCTCTGTCTGCACATGTGGAGTTGTATAGTACAAAACATCAGTGAGACATAATCTATTATCAGATCTAATTCTACCACAATTCTGGCACAGAGCCTTTTGATTTGCTCTCATGTTGTTCTAGGTCTCGTGCATGTCTACATTTTCTCCAAGAACTCAGTCTTTCTCCCACTGTCCAGGTGTGGATGCAACATGGATGAAGCGCCTAAGGGTGTAAAATAATGGGTTGTATGAATGTGGGTTAAAGGGTGAATATAGCTTGTAGTGTGTGGCGCTTTGAGTAGTCCCTATGACTAGAAAACTGCTTTTAGTGCCAGCATTTGCTCAGAGTTGGGCTTTGAGTAAGCAGACCCTGAGGTGAGATTGATTGGATTGTAAACTGTTTTTGGATTTACTCAAACATTGGAGAAACAAAATCAGTTTGCAGTTACAGCAACAAGGGAATCGTAAGTAATCCTGTTTTTTTTTTTGGCCTGTGTATATCAGACATTCTTAGCTTTCAGAGTAACAGAACAGCCTGATCTTCCTCTGTCAGGTGATGAAAACACAGTAACCATGTTCTCTGCACTCCAGCCGCTGTCAGTCTGTATTTAGGAGTTTCATGTTTTGTTTTGTTTTTAGCATTATTTATCAGCATGAAATCGTGCTGATGTGTTTATAACTAGCACAGTATCATCATTTCATAGGTACTGGTCATGTGAATGAGTGCAGTGAGTTGAAAAAGCAAAATGATACCTGGTTTAAAAGTGGCGATGTCCTGTTCAGGGCCTCTTTGTTCAGTGAATCTGCTATTTTTAGATTTCTAACTGGTTCCCTTCCCAGCTGAACCTCTGCACTTTGCAGTTTCATCGGCAGCATTTAAAGCTCTAAGAGGAAACTTTAACTCCTGCTTCAGACTGACCACCTCATGTGTTAGGCATCTGCTGGTGATGAGAGCTTGCTCTGCAGCTGTGGCAGTTTCCAGTCAGTTTGGTGTCCAAGCCCATAAGGCGGCACATGAGGTCAGTAATGGAGCCAGGAGAATTCTTGTTTTCTTTGGCATTTAACGGATTCTGTAACCTGAATTTGTTCGCGCGGGGGTGAGAACATCTGTTCGAGTTCGATCTGATGGCTGAAATGACCTGAGCTGTATTCACCTCCCTGACTCCTCATCTGCTTCCTCAAAATGAAAACATTCACAGGTTTGACAGCCTGGAAGAGGATCCAGTGCATTAACAGAGCCACAAGTACAAAGGGACTGAACAGTGCTTCCACTCAGTGATCGCCAAATAGCAGCAGCACTCAAAGCTGTCCACACATGCCCGAGAACATCTGGAAGAGAAGAGCGGCTAAGATTAATTCCTTTTTTTTTTTTAATTTTTTTTTTATTAATAGACTACTTCCTAGTGTGTGTGTGTGTGTGTGTGTGTGTTGTTGCCCTCTTCATGTTCATTTCTTTAGACTGCATCCCTTCTCCCTTGTCTCCTTTTCGCTTTCTCATTCTGCATCATTATCTTCTCCTGACATTATTTTGGAGTTTAGCACCTCGGTCACTTCTGCTAATTTGGATGCCTGGTTCTAATGAATCTGTGTGCTGTGGTTATTTAATTAGAACTTTCTCATTTCAAAGTACAGTCTACACAACCGTGAGCACTGGATACATTAATGATTAAACAGTTAACACTGGAAACTGATCGTGTCTCCTGTATCAGCATGAATACAGAGCATAGTTTGTGGTCGAGGTAAGAACATTTGCACAAAAGTAGTGTGTAAAATGGTGCAGATGTAGGAAATCCTTTTAATGAAGCTAGAAGGGACACTGTGAAAGCACAACCCTCTGCCAAGGCCATTCTCCTTTCTTGCAGTTTTAATGTGTAAACTGCATTTGCACCAAGGATTTAATGGCTTCTTGTTTTGCCCACGTTCCACCCCTCCATCAAGGAGATCCAGCCTTGTTAGTTTTTGTGTAATCTTGCAGACAGAAAAACAAAAGACACTGAACACATTAATTAGCCCTCTGCCTGAGCTCTCGACTTGGCAGAGAACTAATTTATCTCTTTGGATTCATTTATTCTTCTTGTTTGTTCATCGTGTCAACAAACACCTTTCAGAATCCAGCGGGGTCCCAAAGTCTGACAATCCATCCAGGAACCTGAAGTATTTATGCAGAGATAGATACATATATATATCTATATGTATCTATCTATAGATGTATAGAGAGATAGATATACAGGGTGGGCCATTTATATGGATACACCGTAATAACATGGGAATGGTTGGTGATATTAAAGTCCTGTTTGTGGCACATTAGTATATGTGAGGGGGCAAACTCCTCAAGATGGGTGGTGACCATGGTGGGCATTTAGAAGTCGGCCATCTTGGATACAACTTTTGTTTTTTCAATAGGAAGAGGACCATGTGACACATCAGACTTATTGGTAATGTCACAAGAAAAACAATGGTGTGCTTGGTTTCAACGTAACTTTATTCTTTCATGAGTTATTTACAAGTTTCTCTTTGTTCACAGCCACCAACATGTCGAAGAGGTTAACACGTGAGGAGCGGATCGAAATTGTGTTGATATCTGGTGAACGCAGTAACCGGGTCACATATACTAATGTGGCACAAACAGGACTGTAATATCACCAACCATTCCCATGTTATTACGGTGTATCCATATAAATGGCCCACCCTGTGTGTGTGTGTGTGTGTGTGTGTGTGTGTGTGTGTATAGATAGATATGATTCTGCAGTATTTCAAGGTTAGCTGTCACACTAGGAGAGAATCAGTGCCATTGACCAGCGGTAACTCGTTTGTACAAAAGGTCTTGAGTTCATGCAGACTGTGGTCTTGTGTTGGCATCTGCTCACACAGCTCTGTGACTGCACAAAGACGCTGGGAATTCAGCACTTGCCTTAACAGCAATCGTATCCTCCTGAGAACAGATGAAAAAAGAATCTTCCCATTGAACTCTTTTTGTGATTTCCTGCCTCTCTGGAGATAACAGAGGCCACCCAAACACACCAGATATCAATGAAGTTGTCCTCTATTTAGTACATCACAGACTATTACAGAGGACATAAATGAATAGTCTGCTTCCCAGGAGGATATCTATGAGTCCAATGCTGATTGGTTTGTTTGGCAGGTAAGGGAATGACAGTGAAGTTCATTAGGAAGAGAAGGAACATTGCATGAGAAGCACAGACAATTCAATCCACTAAAGCAAAAATCTGCCTGACTGAGGGGGCAGCTGTGACTCAGGTGGTAGTGCAGGTCATCTACCAATCGAATGGTTGGTGGATCTATTGTTGGTGGGGATGCTGTCCTTGGAGTCATGGGCAGTATTTTTCTTCCTCCAAACACGGCGAGTTGAGTTGATGCCAAATAGCTCGATTTGGTCTCATCTGACCACAACACTTCACCCAGTCCTCCTCTGAACCATTGAGGTGTTCAGTGGCAAGCTTCAAACGTACATGTGCTTTCTTGAGCAGAGGGACTGCAGGATTTCAGTCCTTCGTGGTTTACTGTGTTACAACTGTTTTCATGGTGACTGTGGTCTTAGCTGCCTTGAGACCATTGACAAGTTCCTCCCGAGTAGTTCTGGGTTGGTTCCACACAGTTCTCATTATCGATAAGGTGAGATCTTGCGTGGAGCTCTGGACCAGGGGAGATTGGCAGTTATTTTATGGTTCTTCCATTTGCGAATAATCGCACCAACGGTCGTCACCTTGTCCCCCAGCTGCTTGGCAATGGTCTTGTAGCCCATTCCAGCCTTGTGTAGGTCCACAGTCTTGTCCCTGACATCCTTTGAAAGCTCTTTGGTCCTGGCTATGGTGCAGAGTTTGGAATCTGATGGATTGATTGCTTCTTGAGAAGGCTCCCAATGTCAGCTCGTTACCTGGATAAAATATATACCTGGGAGCCAGAAATCTTGCTGATTGATGGGGATCAAATACTTATTTCATTCCTGAAAATGCAAATTTATACATTTTTTGAAATGCATTTTTCTGGGTTTTTTTTTTTAATTTTTGTTCTGTCTCTCACTGCTCAAATAAACTGACCATTGAAATTATAGACAAAATCAGCTGAGGTTCAAATAATTTTTTCATTGACCGTACAAAGTGCATTATTTGTGACGGACTCTCTCAGAGGTGCTAATTTAACTGTTTTAGCACTGAAACTCACAACACCAGCCTCTTGCTTGCTTATATCATAGTTTTTGTTCCTGGTTGAGAAGAATGAAATCTCTGTTGCTGATATGGAAACATAAAACATCGGGTTAGAGACCTACCTACCAGTTTGAAGTCCGTCTTTCTCCTCCGGCTGGTTATTGCACTTTCTTCCTTGCACCACTTTGTTGTTTACTTGTTTCGCTGCTCCTCTCTCCCTTGGCAGTTTTTTTTGTTGCTCTCTACCTGTTCCCTCCTAATCACTCCACAGATAGGCTTTGATCTTTCACTCCATGAATAAAGCCACACATGCACATTTGGCTTTGTGTTTGATTTTGTGCTGTACTGGTCTTTCTGCTGTTCTGTTTCTTCTCATCTTGCTGTTCATCCTCCCACCCCCCTCTTTTGACCTCCTTTCCACCTATTAGTGAGGTTTACCCTGTAATAAACACAGAAAAGAAGTGCAGCCATTTAAGTGGCTATCAAACAGCAAATGCATTGCAGATGTAAAGTGACTTGGTCCCATTAAAGTGACTAAACATAGTTGAATGCAAAACTTAATGAAACTCATCAAGTTTGGATTGTTGCGTTGCGGTCACCTCTGACCTCCTTGTGTCTCTCTGCTTCTCGTCACAGTGGCCTTGTATGCTATCAGTGCCGTATATTTTGCCGGCGTGATGGTGCGCTTGATGCTGACTCTGACTCCGGTGGTGTGCATGCTGTCAGCCATTGCCTTCTCCAGCGTCTTTGAACACTACCTGGGCGATGACATGAAAAGGCAGAGCCCACCTGCAGAGGACAGCAGCGACGAGGACGACAGGAAGAATGCCGGCAACCTCTATGACAAGGTCAGGGGTCATCGTGTGTTCCCTGCACAAAATATTTTTTACAGACTTTGCAGTCATTGTTTTGTTTAAATGTACTACGCAGGAATGAAATGGCATTCCATCAATGGGTGGACATGACTGTAGTGTCACATGTCAGCCAGCACCACAGAGTCAAATATATTATAATCCACCATGCAGCATCTGTGTCAATGTGATCATGACTGCAGTTCACTGCAACATCTGGAGTCATTTATAACAAGTCTTAAAAATTATGCAGAGAAACTTTAACACTTACAGGCGATGAAGCTGTGAAGCTGTAAGTTTTGTCGGGTGGAAGCGGTTCTGTAAACTCTATATTTAATAGTAGACAACACATCTGGCTACTAACTAGATGTTGCACATAGTGAAAGCTTTTAAAGAAATACATTTTTTTTTTCAGGAATTTGTTCAAATCAAACTAGTGAAAAGGAAAATGAATGCTAACGCGTATTCATTCTAGCTGGGTGTGGAAATGAGCCGCTAAAATCCAAGGCTGCCGTGAGCTGCGCTACACTCTGAAGTGGCTAAAAGTAGTGGTTCAAGTTTCTAATCAAATGCACAGCTTGATTTTTAACCTCTGTTGGAGTCATTGTGCTAAGATTAAATATATTTTTTAAACGTGAACTAAATGCTTCAGAGTGGGATGAACAGTGGTGTAGTAGAAATAAGGATTATTTTGGATTGTGTATCATGCAGAGAATCAAACTAAAGAGCTGGAAATGATCATGAGTCTCTTTTAATTGTCGTGTGACCTTGCTCGTTTTAGAGTTCAAAGCTTGAGTCGGATACGAGGCATGAAAATAGGAGCAGAATAAATCACCGTTTTAAAAAAACCCCAAAACAAGTTCTGTCCTAGTCCCTGTGTGTGCACCACTTGCTGGATGGATCAGAGGGTAAAAGTTTACGGGAAACATTTATCATAAAAAGTTTGAAGTGACAACACTGCAGTTTGTAGCTGTTACGCTCCTCCTCCCCCTTTAACCTTTCAGGAGAAACAAAGAGAACTCACGTCCAATGTTTTCCTCATCCTTCTGCTGCTTTTCCTCCAAATCGATACGTGGGGAATAATGCATCACAGGTCTGCTGAAGGGTGCTGTTAAATGTCACACTATAAAAGCGCAACAACAGTTAATTGTCTGCCTGAGAATTCTCTGCGAGGACTATTAAATAACCCTCTAGTACATTAGCAGCTTGTTTGGACAGCGGACATGTCCTGATGGAGTTTCAGTAACCTTTACCTCGGCTTCTCCCTGGCAGGCTGGGAAGGTACGCAAACACGTGTCGGAGCAAGAGAAGGCGGAGGAGGGCCTCGGCCCCAACATCAAGTCCATAGTCACCATGCTGATGCTGATGCTGCTCATGATGTTTGCCGTCCACTGCACCTGGGTCACCAGCAACGCCTACTCCAGCCCCAGTGTGGTGCTGGCATCGTACAACCACGATGGGTAAGGACTCTGGTTTAGCAGGACCTCTGTGATTGGAGGAACTATTCTGTGTTTGAGCTGTTTACAACAGAGCTGAGAGTATCCTTGTACAGTTGGCCCCTCTATAAAGGGTCAGTCCACTGAAATTACATATTTTTCCCCTCCATGCTGTAACTGTGCATTTAGAGATCTGCCCCTGACATTTCTACCCTCACTCTAATGTACGAGCACGGTTTGCACCTCTTACAGCAGTGACATTTAAAAATCCAACAGCAGCTTCTCTACATAGACCACGCTGTCATCATAGTTTCAGTGAGGTTACTCTCTATTTTGTGGGCTTAAGTGGATTACAACATTTGGCTCCACATGATGCTACCTACCAGATGTGCTGTGTTTTTTTTTGTTTTTTTTAAAGTTCTGTTTGCTGAAACTGTTCACTTCATGCTTTAAATGAATAGAGGCGGTCTTAATCCGCACCAAAGCTCCTTGCTCAGCGGCTCCATGCTGCCACTCCTCTCTGCAGATATCAGAAAACGCTGTGGCAGAGTGCTGCACAACAGACTGCCGTCAAACAAACTGTCAGGCACATTCTGGTTCCTGAGGCAAAGATTTTAAAGAGGGACCCATCCAGCGTGTACTTATTTCCTGTCAGAGTAGATGCTGTTACAGTGATGGACGCTCATTATTATTTTAGAGTTCTTACCTTAAAATATAAAGTGCCTTGAGGCAACTGTTGTCAATAAAATTTAATTGAATTCATATTAAACATGGCCAAGGTTTCAAATAATTATAGCTGGTGTATATACCAGTAACCCCTGTGAGCTGAAAGCTCAGGCTAATAACCACTGAGTTTGTTTTCTACATGTTAGGGACATGATGCAGGACCACATGTTTATCTTGAGTCCATGGCTCTGAGTGTGAGCATGTACCTGCTGTTTTCAAGGGGCAGCCAATCAGAAGAGTTCTTAAAGGGAAAGAAGCTAAAAGCACTAGTATCAGACAGGATTAATGGGCCACAACAAGCCCTGCATACGATCAATAAGCATTATTCTCAATTACGGATCAGGCAAAGCTCATTTAATTAAGTTATAAAATAAATGTAATCAGCTGGAAACGCGTATGCTTAGGCCCAACGTCACAGGAGTATTAACACATCTGCAACTGTCCCCAACAGCTCTCGCAACATCCTGGACGATTTCAGGGAGGCCTACTATTGGCTGAGGCAGAACACGGACGAGCACGCCAGAGTGATGTCGTGGTGGGACTACGGCTACCAGATAGCAGGCATGGCCAACAGGACCACGCTGGTTGACAACAACACATGGAACAACAGTCATATAGCACTGGTGAGAGCTGATCTGCCCGTTCCCCTTTATCTCCTGTCCCAGGTTTGGAAAAGCTGGTTTGAGTTTACCCTTTTAAGTCTGAGCCATGAAATGATTGCCAGGAAATTCTAATCCGGGTTGAAGGGTCATTCCCAGAGTTTACACTTCTGCTTGGTCGTGTGTTTGTAGAGGAGTGTTGTCAGAAATGCGTTCACTGCCTTGTCTTGTTTTACTCGTGTATTTCCGACTGCTTTTCTCTTACCCTTCTTTTGCTGATGGTTGCTTAGTTACACAACTTCTGGTCGATGTTTGTCAGCCCTCGTGTAGCGCCCTGAGTATTGATGTGTTGTCTTGGTGTATGACACCACCAAGTGGACACAACTGCATCATTTCACTGCACTGCAAAACCCTAAGAGAGCTTAATACTGTACATGTGAAAGAGGCACTCCATAGATTCAGTGCTGCACCGCTACAAAGACGCGCTGAGAACGGAGATTTAAATCAAAGCAGCAAAACCCGACTTACTCCTCGAGTCAGTTACCTAAAACCTAAGTCACCTAACAGTTTCTCTAACTGGAAATGGGTTAGTTATAAGTTGTTTCTTATCAATAAGTTCAAACCATTTAAATAGCTGACTGTGTGGATTGCATCCATGTGTTCCAGAGCACAGACACACAACTATTATTTTTTTAATAATAAAAGCAGACCTTAAATGATCTGTATTACAAGACGAACAAGTACGAGTATGAAGCTATACAGCATGGGCGTTTGATGCCCAGAGCGAGCTCTGCTGTGAAAAACAAGGAACAACAACATCTTTTCCTCAACAACAGCCTATGAGGGACCTGTAGTGCATGAAGCTTTTATCACTTGCTTATTCATTATTCAGTAAGAGCAGTTGAGGTTTCACAGCCCTGCTGTCTACTGACCAAAATCCAGAGTATTTCCACTCGAGGTCACTCTGGGTTGTGAACTCTGCTATCATTTCCACACAGCTGCTGGGTTGTTGCTGAATAATTCAAGCGCCTAAACCAACCACCAGAAGAAAAGACGAATTATTTTAGGTTTAAAATGTTTGGTTTGTTTCCCTTTTGTATTTTACATAAGCTGCAAACATTAAGTTACAGTGGGGGAACTGATGATTTGACCCCCTGGTGAATTTGCAGGTTTGCTCACAAATAAATGATGGTAGTTTAGATTTTTATGGAGAGAGACAGAATATTAGCCAGAAATCTTGAAAAGAAAAACATGAAATAAATGTTATAAATTGATTTGCATCTCATCGAGTGAAATCTGGGTTTTGATTCTCTACAACACGTGATATGTGTATCATGCTGAAATCAGGAGTCTGTTTCTTCCATTCCAACCTCTCCTCCACCGCCGTAAGAGCAAAGAGCTATCAAAGGAGGTCAGGAATAAGATTGTAGACCTGCAGGAGTCTAGAATGAGCTACAATACCACCAACAAGAAGCTTTATGAGCAGGTGACTGTTGGTGCAGTTGTTCAGAAATATTACATGAGCATCAATCGTCCTCAGTCTGGAGCTTTGTTCAAGATCTTGCCTCGTGGGGTGAGGATGATCATGAGAAATGCGGTGAATCAGATCAAAACTACACAGGAGGAGCTTGTTAATGACATGAAGGCAGATGGGACCATAGTCAGTAAGAACACCACTGGTAACGCACTACAACATAATGGAATGAAACCTTGCAGCGCTCGCAGGGCGTGCTGTGGGAACATGAAACATCAACTCGACCCATCGTGTTTGGAGGAATGGAAATGCTGAGTATGTCCCAAAAAGCACCATCTCCACAGGAGGTGGAGGTGGAAACATTATGCTTTGGAACTGTTTTGTTTTTTTGTTTTTTGAGAACCTCAAAAAAACCCAGTTCCTTTCCAGTTCCTCCTTTCCTCAGCCAGAACATAGTCGAGTCTTCAAGCATGACAATGACCCAAAATATGGCGTCAAGGCAGCAAAGGAGTGGTTAAAGAAGCAGCACATTTAGTGGCCTAGCCGGTCTTTAAACCTTAGTCTTATAGAAATTTGTGGAGGAGGCTGAAGCTTCGAGTTTCCAAGCAGCAACCAAGAAACCTAAAATGAAGGAGTGGAACAAAATCCCTCCTGAGATATGTGCAAACCCACTGACCAACTACAAGAACCATTTTACTGCTGTGCTTGCCAACAAATGGTTTCTATAGGTCGGGCGTCTTTTGGAGTTTTTCCGACTTTTCTCAGAGAATTCTGACATTAATCTCAAAGCTGTGACATTCTGAGAAAAATGAATAGTTTGCTCTCAGGGGTTGTATCTGTGCAGCTTCTATCTATCTTCCTTACCTAAACTTAAGCATGGCTGCTCTCTGTGTTGCATATGGAGTCCAGCTTGCTCCCACAGTCCAAAGACGTGTTAGATTAATGAGTGTAAATGGTCTGTGAGGCAGCTTAAGTGTGATATTTCTAACCTGCGGTGTGTTTGTGCCTTAACAGGTGGGCAAAGCCATGTCGTCCAATGAGACTGCAGCCTATGAAATCATGAGGTCGCTGGATGTCGACTATGTCCTGATCATCTTCGGAGGGGTGATTGGCTACTCAGGTGATGACATCAACAAGTTCCTGTGGATGGTGCGCATCGCAGAGGGGGAGCACCCCAGGGACATCAGGGTGAGGGAACCATCTCGCACTCTCTGGTTACATATGAACACGTGTTCGTTCTTTTCTTTAATTTATTTTCTTTCTCCACCTTTTGTTACGGCTCACCCCAGGAAAGTGATTATTTTACCCCCCAAGGAGAGTTCAGAGTGGACAAGGCAGGCTCCCCCACCCTGCTCAACTGCCTTATGTACAAAATGTCTTACTACCGCTTTGGAGAGATGCAGGTATGTCATCGTCAAGGAGCTTTTTCTACTAAGCAGAAACTAGTCAGTGTTTCATTTAAGTTATGCTTTTGTTTCTTGTTCAGTTGGACTTCAGGACGCCCCCGGGCTTCGACCGGACACGCAACGCCGAGATCGGCAACAAGGACATCAAGCTGAAGCACCTGGAGGAGGCGTTCACTTCAGAGCACTGGCTGGTCAGGATTTATAAGGTCAAGAAGCTGGAGAACAGAGACCGGGTGGAGCACAAGCTGCGCAGCACTGACACCAACAGGCAGAAGTACACCTCTAAAAAGGTCCCCACATCCATTCCAGCTCACCGCTGTTTTGGACATTTTAGCCAAACTTGCACACAAAATCATACATTTCTACTTGAACCTGTCATTTTCTTCTGTTTACAGACGGCCAAGAGGAAGCGGGGATATGTCAAGAACAAGCTGTCCCTGAAGAAGGGCAAGAAACTCACCAAGAGATCTTTATAGAAGGTCCACCACCTACAGAGGCAGACTGTGGAAGGAGGGAGGAAAACGAATCTGACACACAGCTCAACAATATCAAGCAGTAAAAAAAAGAAGAAAAAAAAAAAGAAAGAAAAGGAGAAAAAAAATCCACCAATCGAGATTGAATAAGGAACAGCAGAGGTTCTCTGCCCCGCCCCCGCCATCATCTTGAGCATCCTCACCTGGAAGCCCAGGCTGGGAAAGCATCGCCCAGGATCCCGCTGAACCCGAGCCGACCTTTGACTTGATGCTGGGGTCGAGGAGGAAGAGAGAGAGAGAGTGGGTTTGAGTTTGAGAGCCTCCTCCACGCTGGATTTAACCTGACGAACTGTGACCTTTGACTCACTTTTCTTTTTGTACTTGAACGTGCTGGGGAGTGAGGACGGACCGAGCAAGAGAGATTAGCCGTCCCTCATCAGGGGACTCTGCTTGGGGCTGCTCTATGCATCGCATCATTTACACACATACAGAAACTCTGTCAGCACTGAAACCCAGACTGACCGTACAGTACGCTTTCATCTAACATCATCCTGCTGCGCCGACAGCACGCCTTCATTTTTAGGTTAATTCTCACTTGCTACAGTGCATTAAAATTTTTATCAGCATGCCAGATCAACACAGTTGTAAACAAAGATGGTGCAGAGGGTTAAATTACTTTTAAAAGCAAGCAAAGTCACAATTTGAGCACCACAGGCTTACGGCCACATTTCAGGCTTTCAAGGCAACTCTCTAATATACTGTCACATGTCAAACATCGGCGTCCTCTGCTCTCACCGCTGTTCGCGTCAATCACTTATTTCAAAATTCGAGGAAAGTTTCCCCCTCACCTACCAACTTTTTCTGCCATGTCTGCAGGTCGCTCCGTGTGTTTCATGAGGCACAAAGACATGTTTTCCCCCCTTTCCCCACATTTGTGTAAGATTTTCTACTTCAGAGTACAAAATTAGCGCCGTGAGCAATTCAACGAATCACATAAGCAGAATTTAGTTAAAGGCACAGGTGGATGGCTTAAAGCTGCGAGTGTGGTGCCAAAGGTTAACTTTACTGACTCTTCTGTTGTTTCTTTTTACTTCTCTGTAGTATCACATCAAAACTTATTAATGTGATTCGGTCAGCTCTGAAGCGTGTTCCTGTTCCTCGTGTCACTGAATGTAAATATGGAGTTTTGCAGGCGGCTGACAGTCGTCATCGTTCTGGCTGTCCATACACGGAAACAGGGTGGCACAGTAACTCTTCACTAACATGCAGCCTGGTAAATAATTGCGTTGTGCTGTTGTGTGTATCCTAAAGGCCCGCCATCACACACAGATGTCAGGTTTATGAGGTTCTCTGGATCTTGCTCCACAGTCGTCATCAGTTTCTACCAGAGGAGGTCGTCCTCATTATCAGAGTTTAATGTTTCTCCTTCAGCTGCTTCTCACTGATGTGAAATCAACATGTTACCCTGTGATTATGTTATTCAGGTTAGTGGATATTATCTCGTGTGCTCTGCTCAGTAAGATGCTGGCATCTGTGCTCACGAGTTAGCTCAGTGTTGGATCACATGCACAATTGTTCTCCCGCTGGCACATTTTTTGTGATGACTAATTTGCCCTGTGATAAATCTGACCCCGAATCTCTAGTCCTGTTCAGTCTCCAGAGGTACTGGAACCTACATTTCCCACGATGCACCTGCTCTGCTTTAAAGTGATTTGTTTACAATCTGTGTGATCAGCTGGCTGTTTACATTATCTGAAATGGTAATGCTGAGCTGCAGCCCAGCAGGTGGACACGAACATATCTGTACCCTTCAGTTTTTAATCAGCTGACTGTAATTAGTAAATGAACGAATGTGGGAGGGATCAGCGCTGCAGAACGCAGAGCGGTCCGTCCCACCTTCAGGTCAGTAGAAATGTGCTTGCTTTGCTGCTGGTGCCAGTGTTGTTGTTAAGTAGCCATTTGAAAGTCTCCTCTGCTCTCAGTGAAAACAATGAAGAGAAATCAGCAGCAGCAGTAATGCACCCAGCTGTTCGTCTGCAGTACCTGCTGTCTGCATGTCAAAAGGTGTCCCCGAGGCCTCGTTCCCTTTGATCCCCCGTCACGTATCCCACCGCACTCTGTAGATATCAGGCTGAGTCTCCCTCCGCAGGTACCGGGATCAAACGCGTTCGCTGCTCGTCCTCTCCTGAATTTAGAAAACCATCATCTGAGCTGGCAGGAGCGGCAGGAGGCTCTGCGGGTTACAGCCGCTCTACACTCTGAATGTTCCTTTTAAATTGGCGCACTTCTTTCTGTAAACCAAACTTTCCCTAGATTCAAATCTGCCATGTTCATTTTCTTACAAATATAACAAGTTGACTTTTTTTTTTATGAGGTTTTGTTAGAACACTGCTCCAAGAGTCCGTGTGGAGAGGGACAGCACAGGCCTTAAAGTTTAATAAAAAAAAAGGTGTTTCCAAAGCTGCATGTCAGCGGGTGTATTTATTACATGGACGATGGAGGCTGCTGCCTCACACGAGCGCAGCGTCCTATCATGTGATGCAATGATTTTATTTGATTTTTTTTCCAAGTCAAAGGTTCTTCCATCAATTGTAATGATCTGGATGCAGGTGTGAGAATGAAACATGCCTTTTTGAATAAAGAGGTTGAAATAACTCATCTTTACTTTTTTTCTTTAAATGAACAAAAATGTTAATCTTTAGAATTTTTTTGCAGGTATAAAATTCACAGGTTGTAAGCATCGATTTTATTAGCTGCATTTATGTCCAGTTTAGACTTGACTGTTTGTTTTTTAGATTCTCTTGGCTCTGCTGGAGACCAATGAAGGGACATGTCTTATGGAGCTCTCTCCAGAAACTCGAAACTTTAACCCACCAGTTAAAACCTCTTTGCAAGAAGCAGCCAATCGGGGGGGGGGAAGAACCAAATCTGCTTTAAGACACAATGGAAACTTTAAAAAATATTTTGAACTGTAATCGTGCAAAGCTGCTCTTAGACAGTCCTGGAGTGAAACTATGCATGTGCAGAGCTTGACAGGTGGCGTGAGAGGAAGAAGAATTAGGCAATCGGCATCTGAAGAATAGTGAAGGTGTAGATCTGTTCATTCATGACATGAACACAGGTGGCACTGATGAGGCAACGCATGACAGTAAAAACAACCAACAAAGATTCCTTAATATTTTTATATCAAAGGTTCACAGGAGTTGTAGCACTGTCAAAAAATACACAATGAAAACTGATGCACACACCAAAAAAAAAGGATACATCACAACTGCATTGACACAAATGCATCGTTTCTACATGAACTGTTCAGCTCCGCAGTCGAAGCTAGAAAATATTCATACATTCAGTGCATGACTGACTGTATTTAAGATTCTACAATGAGCCCCTGCGTACGGCTGCCAGACACGCACACACCTCAGCACACACAACACAAGATCCAGGCTGATTCAGAGTGTGACACAGTGATCCGCAGCACTTTGGAACCTGAAGAAAGAACTCACAATGCTGTCATATGGGGACAATTTAATTTGTAATCACACAAAGTTAATTTAATTTCCATTAAACTAGCTGCTCCTGGAATTTAATGACATCCATTTATCAGCTGCTGATGTTCGTTTGTGTCTGATGAAGGGACGCATTACATGTAATACTTTAAAAACAAAAAGACCCCCACTGCTTCCAGTACACTAAACTGAAGCTGGACAAATTTAGCTCCCTGCAGCTCTGTGTTTTAAATGCGAGAGCAGACCCGCTTCCGATGATCTTAAATTTTTCTTTGGGATTTGCTTTGTGGAGAGCACTGCCGAGCGGCTCCTGCAGCTGAATTAATTGGTTTTTCTAAATTAAAATTCACAAGCAGCTCCCGCTGTGACTTTGATTAGAAGTATAACAAAAAATAATTAAGGAAAGCTGCATCAAATAAATTTCAGGAAAACCGAATCTGCTGGAATTCATTAGCACTGATTCTTTGATACAGAAAAGCTCTCTGCGTGCTGCTGCTTCAATTATTTACACTGGGCTTGAAGGGTGGGGTGCGGGGCACACTGTACAACTGATTTTCCACTAATTAGTCCTGGTCCTATGACCACAGCTATACAATAGTGATTGGATCTATAGCACAGCACACAGTTCAGGTTATTTATGGACGCAAACGCAGGAGAAATTTACACCTGAAAACATGTAGATGAGCTGGTTTCAGAATCCGTGCAATTCAGAGACACTGCTTCAACTACCTGCCTGTGGTGTGTGAAAGAGCTACACTGAGGTAAAGCCATACGGTGATGTGTCTTCACTCATCAACTCCAGAATCAAGCAGAAGCTGGTTTACATCTCTCTGCTTGTGTTTGAGACATTTATAAACTTTGAGGTGTGAAAATATGAATTCTTGTCCCACAGCCATGACTTTAGTCCCCTGAGAACTAAACCACCTTAACAGTTCATATTTGTCCTCACAGAACACACACGAGAACATGCAAACTAAAATGTTAAAACAAAGTCACGGGGCTGGAAAAGAGCAAACCCCAAGTTCTACAAAGTGACACGAGTCAACACAGTCTGGTAGCTGTAACCAGGGAAACGTCCTGCTAACATGTCAGAGTGGGCTTTCACACAGCAGCTGAACCAACTCCCCTCTTATCAGTAACACAGTACTGTATAAATGTCCTTGTGTAGTTTGTGACCCTGACATGGATGCAGGATAAAGTTACACTAACAGAAGTATAACCTCATCGTCTTTGATGCATGTTCATTTTCCCCCTCAGCTTCACTGTTTCTGCTCAGACTGTTAAATGAATCGGAATCATCCCTGTAGTCAGACGGAGACGACTCGGAATAAATTCAGTTTGTGCCAGCTGATTTTTATGCTTTACTAAAAATGTATGAATCTATATGTCATGAATGACATGCAAAAACAGTAGCACTGTCCTTTAAAAAGAATGGACAGGTTGAACCATGTCTTATACTCAGTACAATGTTCCTGTTTCCTGACAGCCTACTCTCACCACTTCCATTCAGTCCTCCTCCTCCTCATCCCCTCCAAATGACAGGAGGCTGTTATTTTTAACTTTCTTTCCAGATGCCTCCTTTTTCTCCTCCTCCTCTTCCTCCTTTTCCTTGTCCCCTCCACTGCTCTTCTTCTTTTTGCTGGAGCTAGCACCGATGCCCTGGAATTTATCTGAGGAAGAGCGCTTGGCTGGTTTCTTGAAAAGGATTTTACCGTCAGGAGGCTGACCATCTGCGGAGCAGACGGAGGTATGTATGTGCAGGGTTGCAAACACAGGGTTTTATGTTAACATGCTGCATACAGTGCATGCATATGTAAATATTTTCTTACTCCTGGTGTAATTAAATCATTGAACTGGACTCTCACCTTTCTCTGAGCTGCCTCCAGCCTGTATTTCATCCTTCATCTTCTTCACCTCCTCTGCAGTCAGGTCTCCACTTTTAAGGACCACGACCTGGGGCAACTCGTCCTCTCGATCGCTGCCGCTGTCGTCATCCAGTGTTGGCATCACCTGACGCTAGGATAGCAAACAGACCGTTAGCCTGTGTGAGAAGTGTTTTGAAATCCTGCATTCACTGTGAATGACGATACCGAGGTTTCTTATTTCAGTGATAATCATTTCATCAGCAGCCCGACACTCAAACTAAAATCAGGAACCTGTACTTCAGAGACATGATTCAAGTCGTGGTGGGGTTTTTTTTTTAATACAACTTCATAAAACAAAAAACAAACCCATTCATGAAAAGCCATGGCTTTCTGTTGTAGAGTACATAAATTCAGTTGTAGAACGCCTGCGCAGTCACAGCTGAACGCTGCAGAGCAGTTCGAGACTGCTCTGATGGTCCGGAGGAACAGCTGTAGCTCGTGCGGCCTCACTGCTCAATTCAGTGAATGGGACCCTCCGTTGAATTATGATTCAGAGCATTTATTCTTGCTTATATGAACACCATGCGCCTGCGCTCAGAAACAAACGTCGCAAAGTGTAGCTGTCACACAACTGAAAGAGATAATGGTTTGGTAGGCCCGGTGCAGCTAACTGGCACGGCTAACCCAACCGCGTAGTTACCTTAGTGTCGACATTCGGTCCCTCTTTGTACCCCACATCGTTCTTAAACTTCTTGAGAAACGACGGCTCCGCCGGCTTCACCCATGCTACTCCGCGGCCCTTATTTTTATTCATGGCAAAGAAGCAAAACAAGACAAGCAGCCAACGAATGCAGACTGCAGATCCGAGCAACTTCCGGCTAGCACGGACTCGTCAAAACAGAGAAACCGTCACTAAAACGCGCCGCGTCACGTGACTTCAGGAGCTACTGTCATTGATGGATTTGGGAACGTTGATGCCATAGCGCTGCTTGGTGCTACATTGGATCTGCACAAGGGACGATAAGCTAAATGATGATTCAAAGCGAAACATCGCAGAAAAACTAAGCCGATGAATGTCCTCCACATAAAGCAGCAACTCGCCCTATTTAACTTGAAGAAGGAAACTCTCCGCTGTGACTGCTCGTAGCGCCGTTAGCCGTATGAGCATGAAAAGTTAAGCATTAGCATGAGACAGTTTGAGAACTCTGCCGATCTGGACTCTTTTATTAAAGAACTGGAGGAAGAGTCTCAGACTAAGTTTATCACCTTTTCCGTGGGCCGCCATTATAATGACAAAGGTAACGAAATGGAGAGTGACTGCTAGCTGGACAGCAGAGCCGTAAACACTGCTCCCTGCTATGGTCCAGTAGTGAGTGTGTCGGTTAACGCCGGGGTCTTATCAGGTCGTGTGCTTGTATTTGTCACACAGATTGGCATCCTTTGCCCGGAAACCGCGTCTACTGGCAGTGGGCTGGGGGCTCTGGGATGCCAGCCATTGAATTCACCGGAGTCCCATTTATGTTTGTGGGCTCTAAAAGGCTCGTCTGCCATCAGGGCAAGGACCTCGCCGTAGCTCAGAAGCAGAGATATGCCGAGGAAAGGGCAAAAAAGACGGTGATTTCACTGCGCGTTCAACACACACACAGAGGCTGGCTGGTGATGCGAGGAGCCGAGGGATTGGTTGTTTCGCTGCTAGGCAACCGATGACGCTGCAGCCTTGGAGAAAAAAGCGCGCAGAGTAGACGAGTTGGGAGTAGTGCTGTGGGATACTGAAATTTGTGTATCAATGCAATACTAAGTAAATACAGGACCAATAGTGACAACACTTTAAACCTAGAAAAGGCAGCTTATGTAGTGGAGAGCATTGCGTCATGATTTATCAGACGAATCATCATTAATGTCCAATTTCTGAACACGATTTAATGGCCTATAAGTCAGTGTGGTTTTTACTTTTCCACAACAAAACACACCTTTTAGTTTTTCATTTATTTTGAAATTGGGGCTTTCTGGAGACCTTGGATGTGCCTGTCTCTAAAGCACTTTGGATCAACTACTGTCATTTTAAGGCTTGGATGGCATGGATATTATCAATATTAGGATCAATCTGCTCACTTCTAATGGACAGCAGTGAACCACAGCTACTAAGAAAGGCGCACGACTCCACCTGTTTCTCAGTGTTTGATTTGAGTATGCTTAGATGTTCTGCTCAAGTTAGCTAATCTTGACATGAATTATTGAATGCATTATTTAACTGATTTCTTTCCCATAATCCACAGATGATTGACCACACTTTAGTTAGGAACAAATCAAACTCGCAGTCTAGTAAAAAGGTGGGATGCCCAGCAGCCATATCAATCAGCAAGATCGCAACATTCCCTAAATTCAAGGTAAGTGGAAATGTTGGCTCTCCTACAGGAATGTGACCTTTAAGCAAAGACAGCTGAATTTAAAGGAGAAAGGCATGGAGTACGAGTTTAGGACTCAGACTAAATCATTTTGTTTCGGCACATGTTTCTCTCCATGATCACCACTCTGATTTCTATCTGCATGCACGTTAGTTGGAAGAAGACAGGGAGAGGAGTAAGAAGGCAGTCTCCAAGATGCTGAAAGAGGCTTTGGAGAGAGATCCAGTTGTGTGGGGAACATGCTATGTTGTTACACAGCCAAGTGCGCATGCTGGGCACGCAATGGGAGAAATGGTAACGAACAACAGTCTCCTCACAAAGGACAAAAATCTGTGTTTCCATGTGAAACTACAAGTGTGCTATATTTAAAGGAGCCCGTGGACGCAAGAGTGGAGCAGCAGGTGGTGGAGCTCAGAAAGCAGGGCGTGAGGAAGGTCAGCGAGCTGAAGCGTCATCTTGCTCAGTTTGTAACAGCCGAGCTTTTTAAGGGAGCTAGCCCACCCCCTGCGTCCAGGCGCCGGTACTACCCCTCAGAGAAGGACCTCCGAAATATAATGGCTAAGGTGAAGGACCAGGCTCGGCACAGAATCGATCAGGTGAACCTGGAGGTGAGCGGCGCCTTTATCATTCCTGTTTGGGTAAAACACCAGCATGTGACTAGTCCGTATAAAAAAGAAAAAAAGATTGTATTTGTTGCAGGGCTTGTTTGAAGAATGGTGTGCTGCTACACCTGAGGACAAGTTCCATCTGCGCCTCCGTACAGAGGACGCCTCCTTCCTCTTCTGCCATCAAACGTTGTGGCAGATGAGGCTGCTGCGCCTGTATGGGGCAGATGTCTGCGTGTTCGATGCCGCCTACAGAACAATCCGCTACCCTCTGCCCCTGTGCTTCTTGTGCGTCCGCACTAACATGTGCTACTCCGTTGTGGGAGTGATGGTACTCCAAGAAGAAACAACAGAAGCCATCAAAGAGGGTCTGGAAGTGTTCAAGTGTTGGAACGCAGACTGGAGGCCAGCAAGCTTTATGGTCGATTGCAACGCTGCCGAAATCCAAGCTGTTGAGTCTGTGTTTGAAGGTACGGTGAGCTAAAATGAAAACAAAGTGATCACTGTGGATCTTTACTCTTTTTATACATGTTGGTGTTATGATTATATATCAGTGTGCTCTCTATTCAGTCTCTTTCTACCTCTGTGCAGGCACCAAAGCGCTGCTCAGTGACTTTCACAGGGAGAAGGCATGGGACGAATGGATACAGAAGGAGCATCGAGTGGCTGACAAAGGAGATGCTCTTACAAAGCTGAAAGCGATAGCCAGCTCACTCACTACAGAGCAGTACGAGGAGGCAGTGAAGGCCCTGATGGCCAGCCACACCTGGGAACAAAATCCTGCGTTTCAGAGCTGGTTTTCAGACACGTGGTTGTCCAAAGCAAAGGTAAGCATCTGAGAAAAAAGCAGCTCCTGCACAGAGACATTTGAAAGCTGAAATTCTATCGCCACAACAAACCCTCGCTATATCTTGCTTTGTTTAAGAGATGGGTGTCTGCCTTCAAAGAAGAGACACTGAATATAGCTATCATCACAAACCATGAGACTGAACACCAGAATAAATTGTTCAAGCACAAATACCTGGAGGACTACAGGGACCGGACTTTATCTGAAATGCTGGACATCGTGACACATGTGTACATCCCTGAACTGCGGAGGACGTAAGTTTTCCATTTGCACAAGCTTGTCTTCAGTGTGCATGTCATGTCAGCAAAAATAATGTTTCTCTTTCAGGTACATTGAAGCTAATGTGAGGTCATACGGACAGTGTGACTCCAGTGTCCCTCCTTTCCTGTGGGACAGACCCGCAGACGTCATTCAACACATCACGAGCTGCATGGACAGCTCTCTCTCTGAGGGACATGTGGTCAAGCTGGGCGACGGTGTGTTCAGAGTGAAGAGCGAGACACAGGAGGACCAGTCTTATGAACTGGCATTTGGGTCAGACGACAGCTTGCCCTCCTGTCAGTGTGATGACTGGAGGCGGTACAAGTTGCCATGCAAACATTTCTGTGCAGTCTTCCAGAAGGTCCCTGGCTGGACGTGGCAGCAGTTATCCCTGAAATACAGGGAACACCCGCTTCTTAACCTGGATGCCACGTGTTGCTCCATGACCCCAGACTCAGTGGACGAGTGGGGCACGGAGGTAGTCAGTGAGCCAGTAACCTGCAAGGGTAAGGTTTATCTGCAACATGAGAGAAGAACTTCATAAAAGTTACTGTCTTACCCGCACAATCATTAACCTGTTACCTCAAATTTTAGGGAGTGCAAATTTGTCTTAGTGTAACTTTCTTTGCAGACACACAAGTGACCTCTGACTGTGACAGTCCACCACGCAAGCGAGTGAGCAAGTCATATCTGAGGAAGAAATGTGTCAACCTCACCAAACAACTCATGGACAGAATATGTACCACTGAAAGCCAAGACACACTTCAGGAACTTTCTGAGACGTTAGGCAGGCTGGTGAAGGGGCTCACACCTGCGTTTGGCAGTGAGGATGGTATGCTTCATCTGGAAGCAAAGCGGGTCCGAGTTTCCAGCTGCACAGACTGAGGGTGGAACCCACAAAGTGGCTGGCCTCGAAATCATCAGAACCCTCCCGGAGCCGCGCGATTTTTTTCGAACGCTAACTACGTCATCAGATTCCCGGAAAGGAAACAACCAATTACAACAAAGCAGCTACAGTCAAGAGGGCGAAGGCATGATATGGAAAAAGCACTTAAGCTTCACAATAAAACCAAAGTAGTTTTAATCAAAAATTGTGTCTCCATGAATAATGACATTATCCATGAAGAGTAGTTTCTTTACCTATTTAAAATAAATCCTAGCGGAGTCCGATGACATCACCACTGAAGCTGTTTGGTCACCACTGAGCAAAGTAACAACTGACAAGCATTTATATGAGGAGCCATTATGATGTTAATGCGTAATCTATACCTGCAAGAAATGTAAGATTTTCGGATGACAGCGACAGAGTGTACTTTACTGTATAAATAAATTAGTGAAAAACCAGGCCTTTGTATTGTGTCCCCTGTTGTGTAGTGACGAATGGAGGAAGCTGCCATACAAGCTTTTATTGTGAAAATTTTCGTCTGCCTGTTCGCGTCCTTTAACTCAGGCTTGACTGCGGTCTGAAAGGATTAACATGGAGCCCTCTAACAACCAGCCGAGTTCGGGAATGTTTTCAGCGTCCTTTTATGCGTTATTAGCGGGCTTTTTGGCAGCTACTGCCTCTCTGTCAGCTAAGCTGTCGCTCGGTGCGAGCTACCTGAGAGAGATGTGTGAGACGCGGCTGAGCGACTGGAATCAAACACCTGGTGGAAGCGCAGCCTGTGACTGGGTGACACTGACTCTCTGACATCTTTGTTTTTGTATTTCTACAAATACCTAATTTCCTTGGCATGGTTACACACACACACACACACACACACACACACACACACACACACACACACACACACACACACACACACACCCTTGATCATAATGCCTCTTCCACTGAATTTATTAAAGAGTTTTCTCGTTTCCGACTACTGCTACAACAAAGATGGCAGCCAGCCGGTGTGACACCGGTAGAACTTGGAGGAGTAATATTCATGCAAGTGATCAGAAGCCTCTTAAAGCCTCCATAAAATACCTTAAAACATTTAATTACTGTGTACTTAAAGGTTAGCTCTGACTTAAATGAATGTTAATACGAGACGAGCACAAACTGTTGCCGATTAATATGAATAATAAATTAATTCATTAATGATGCAAGCTGATAGTTTTGTTCTCAGTAACATGTACAGCATCTAGCTGTAAAACATAAGCCAAACAGGTGTTAGTATTGTCATTAATTAGGGCGTGTGCCGGTACATAGTCAAAATTAATGTGATTAGTAACAGCTGTATGATTGTTTTTCTGTATCTAACTGTGGTGGTGGTTTAAGGTTTTTGGTCATTAACCAGGCACGTTTGTCAAAGTTTAGGCTGTGAGGTAAAAAGTATATGTTCTTCCTGGGCATGCTTAATTGGAAATGGAGAAACACTGTTTAGGAATCTGAACTAAGGATCTGCACTCAGTTCTGGTATTTAGCCAAGCCGTGACATTTTTGCTGCAGAGGGTAAAGTTATGTTTTCGTGTGTGTCTTGCTATACCTTGGCCTACAGCTCCACATCCCCCTGCGGCTGCTGTGCGGCGGCCTGCTATTCGCCTGTAATGCAGTCATGTGGACCACCTTCTCCAAGGCACTCCGCCATTCCACCTCTACAGCCAGGGCCACTGTCACGACCACTGCATCCAACTTCATTTCCTCTGTAAGCTCTCTACATATGCTGAACTAATTTGATTTTTCACAACACTATAACAACAAAAGGGAAACATTTTGACTTTGCATTCAACATTCAGATTACTGTTTTATATTTATAGTGAATGTGTTCTTCTGTCCAGGGACTGCTAGGGAGGCTCTTCTTTGGAGAGAGCCATGCAACTCTGTGGTGGGCAGGCATCGCTCTCACTCTGTGTGGACTGCTGATGCTTCATGGTTCAGCACCTCAGACACACCCACAGGAAGCAGACAAGAAGGACAAGTAATGCATGTTGGAGTTGTTCCAAGTGCGCAGCCTCAAAACTGTTGACTGCAAAGAGCAGTTCTGTCAGGTTCTCCGCCTGCAGAATTGACTGATGTATACTTTTTAAGAGTTCTTCCTATAAGACGAACAACAACTGCCTTTTTATGGACTTTCACCTGAATTCTGATTCTTTATGAGGGGTTCCCTGGGACTTGCACAAAATCAAAAAACCCTCATATTATTATTTTTTTTGTACCTGTGTGGAAGTTGATTTTTTTAATGTGTGATGCATGTATTACAAACCACACTGTGACTTGCTCTGCATTGGAATACTGAGTGGAAATGGATATTTTTATAAATAAAATGGAAGTCGAACAAATGAGGGCACTTAAATACCACATTTTGTGCAGAAGAACAGCCATCTCACAACCATGCTAAATTTACTCTAAAGAATTGAGAATGATTAGAAAGTCAATTGATTTGAGTTTGGCACCACCTTGTGGTACTTTTAGGGATAGCACCGGAGAAGACTGCACGCCCAGAAAATTGAGGAAGCGTTTTTTGTCGACTAGTTCAAACTAGTTGCAGCTGAATATGTTACCTTACAATGCCCACAAAAGCTAGAAAGCTCACACAAAGATATGCAAATGACCAGCTGCAGTAGTCGGCAGAAGCGTAATGATTAAAGGCTGGAGGTAAACATTTAAAATAAACCCTCTCCACATGGGTCAGTGACAACTACTGAACGATAAAGCCAAGCGCCGGTGTGCAGATGTGTTTTGTTCAAATTAAATTGAATGAAAATTTGGAGGGCACCGTGTTTCCCCCAGGACGATACAAACAACATGCCTGCTGTTCTGTCTGAACACCCATTTATTCCAGACCACTTAGCTGTGCCTCAGCTGCAAATGAGGTGTAATGTTTTCTCCAATTATGATACACACTTCTACCACAACAGCTGTATTTGTCTTCTGTGGTTGGCTATCATCAAAGGCATCGAAGCAGAAGAGCTGAAAGTGGTCACAGTGGAACAGAATGGAATCAGTGCAGAAAAACACAACAGGAGATAAGATGTACCACAACGTAAGGAGTGCTCTGACACGTTGATAAATATGTTTTTCTCCTTTCTCGCAGTCGATTAGATGAGATGATAAGGCAGTATGAAAAAATGTTCCTATTAAGTTTTGAACTGGACTGTCAGTAGCTTTTGGTATACAATTCAAACACTGCAGATGTATTTGCTAAAAACAAACAAATAATCTGTCACTAGATTTAAAACAAACAAACAAAAAAGAATGACCATTCATATAAGGAAGGAACCCACACAATGAGTAGATTATTAAAGCAATGTAAACATGATTAAACATAAGTGATCCCATAATGTCCAGCAGCCATTTAGCAGTTAGAAGCCCTTATCCTCCAGCTTACATACACACACAATAAAAATCCTCTATATGAAGTCATCTACTGCCCTTTTCCCACATGTGCAATGGAGCGAGAAATATGAAAATGGCAACTTGAGACAGTCTGGAATCAAGATGAGTAATAAAACAATGTAGTGTTTCAAACATTTGCTCAGTAAAGATAGATAAGGCACGAGGTGAGCTCGAACTAGTTTCTCAGACATGGGTCAAGCCTAATCTTAGACTAAAAACCTTTTCCAAATGGAGAGTTTGTATTTCTAGGCTTAACCGTTATCTGTGAAACTGGCTGTTCAAATCTGGGGGGGAAGGCAAGAAGGTTGAAAGGAACCATTTGTGCTACAGTGCTGGAGCAGAGCTGCTGTTAGTGGTGTTCTGAGGCAGCTCAGGGAGGCACTTTACAGTATTCTCTTCTCCAAACACTGAGCTGACTGAGCTTTGAGTCCTCACAGCGTTTTCCTAGAGACAAATTCAGGAAAATGCTGCAGGTTTGGCAGATTTAGTAGAGAAATATGAGATCCTTAAAATGCACATTAGACCTTCAGTTATGTGTGCAAGTATTAAGCTAAGATACAAAAGTTTGATAATGGGTGCTCTGCACACCTATCAAATGGCTACACTGAAGGTAGGAACAGAAACTGTAAAATATATCCAGAAAAAAGTCCTGTACATAAAGAAATGCATACATAATTAAAATAAATTCTGGGCAGTTTTTCAACATTTAGAAAGTCCAGTTTCAAAAATATCTTTGTGCTTGTCAAGAAATCCTGCCTGTCTGCAATTTATGCTTTCCCCAGCAGGTGGCGCTAGTTGAGTGGTATCTCGATGACATCCTCCTCGATGATCTCTCCCTGGGGGATGGCGACGTGGTGCTCAGGGCTCTTCTTGCAGCTCAAGCCTGAAAAAGGGCTGCACCAGGACAGTGAGAAGGGGCCTCCGAATGCAATCTGCATGGCCTCCCAACACGGAACTTTCCCCCACTTCCCCGTCTCCCCCTTCAGCCGCTCGATCCCCTGGAGACAAAAAACAGTGAGGTTCTGAGGTGAAGGGGCAGAGAGACAAACAAAGCGCAAAAAAAAAAAAAAAAAAAAAAGCACTGCATGGGATCACCTGCATGCACCATCAATGACATCCACAACACAAAACTGGTGATAGTATGTTACTATGTGATGGTTTTGCTTTTTTGTGCTAGTCCCTCAGACACTTAAACATGTCCAGCTTATTTAAAAAAATAAAATAAAAAGTCTTCAGGTTGAGGGTTTAATCATTTACTTGTCATTGCTGCCATTTATCCTGTGTGTACTGGCCAGGAAGCAAAGAGAACGGGACTGGCAGTGGAGCCAGCTGCTCAAATGGTTGCTAATTAACACCTAAACTGAACTGCAGCTGAGGCTGATGGGAATGTGATTACTTTTACAGGTCTTTGTTCCTACAACAAAGCACCAGAGACATATTTGGACTGGCTGACTGTCTCAAAGCACATTTAAGTCCAGCTGAAGTAAATGAGGCTTCAGTGGATGCCCTCTTGGTAATAATTTGTCCGTTTATTTTTATCCTCAGACCTTTGAATGTTACTTCCTAATCCAAACCAAGTGCCAGCTACCACAAACTTGAGGCTTAGGCTAATGCAGGAAGCAGCTTATAATACAACACCAGTAACAGTAATGATGCTTTCACCTGGCTCCCACTCAAAACATGTCAGCCTCTCTAGAAGTGCTAAATCAGTCATTTTTAAGGAGTCTTTAAAGCCCTGCTTGATAAATACGCAATGTCTGAGTTTTTGGATGCGATTCTGGCTTTGATGTCCAATGTGTGGGTGTTGACTGATAGTAGGCACGCTCCAGCTTCAAAAATGTTTGCCATTCATTAAAGTAGACTCAATATTTGGGGTTCACGACTGCTGTCCAAACAGAAGGCACTTGAAGAGGTCACCCTGAACTTTGAGAAGGTGGGATAGGATTGTTTTTCCCTCCAGTTTGTTAGTTTTGGGGTTCATTTCAAGATGGCCAACAGTTCTGATTTCTAATGTATAATGGCAAAAAGTAACGCTGACAGATACTTCTAGAACTAATGTAAGAAGTTATTTTAGAAGGACTGTGTTCCAAGATATTAACCTAAAGCAACATGTACTCATCTGGATGCATGCTCAATCATCCAGGTTAGGAAATCCTTAAAAGTTGCTTCTGTTCATCTGGACGAAACGTTTCTCCCACTGAAAACGCTTCATCCTAGTACATGTGCATAATGACTGAATGGCGAACAATGGGCAGTTGAGTTTTTTGATCATTAATATGCAAATTTGTTATCAGCACTGATCAAAAACCATTGATCAATGGTCATGAGTACCATTCACAGAGAGTTGGGGAATGGCTGCAATCACAGCATTGTAACATGGCAGGAGGTACCGTTAAGCCCCCTCCTCCATTCATAGATGGTCGTAAATTGCCTCCTTGACTCCTGCCGGTGGAGGTTTCAGTCATTGTGCAAAGGTACTGTTTTATAAGGTGAAGTAAACCTGCAATCAGCTGACATTAAAGAAGTCACTTGGATGAGTGACAAAGCGTTTCTCCCACTGAAAACGCTCCATCCAAATGAACAGAATCAACTTTTTGGGGCAACATGTAGTTCTGTGAGCTTTAGAGTGCTTACGGGGTTAGGCTAGCAGGTGCCCTGTTTATAGTCTTTATGCTTAGTTAAGAAACTCAAGTACATGCCACTGAAGGTAGTTTTCGGGAATTTTGTGTTTTAAATGTAAATGTAAAAAAAAAAAACAACCTGAGTCTTGACAGAGTATTTTTAGTGACAGTCAAAGATCCATTTGGGTAACTCAGACGGCTGAATCTAATATTAGTTTCAACTTTGGGACTTATATTTATGCAGTGCAAACAGTGGATTTTACAGCCATCTTCTAGTGTACTGGTGTAAAGGTTGCTTCATGGCCACAAGTTACAGTTAACACTAACTGAGAAGTTAGATGACTTGACTTCTGATGAGTTTTAACAGTGTCCTCTAAATGCTTTAGGTTCCATGTTATTCAATTTGTTTTTAAAGAAACATGCCCAACATTTCATGCTGCTGTCCAAAAAGACTGGCATGCACTTCAAAAATAAACAGATGGCACATGCATCACAGACAGAACTCACTCATTCATTCAAACCGTTTGGTTGAAGTAAAACAGCAAAGGAGGAACTGAAAGCACACGTCGGCCTTCTGATTGAAGCGTGCATACATGTGACATGTCAAAGCTTGATGGGGACGGCCAATGTGACTGCTGTTCGCAAGCTTACCTCAGTCAAGATTACAAAGGGCTGTCTGCTTCGGAAAGCTTTCGGCAGAGTGAGTTATCAACCAAAGCAAAAATGCATGAGTGAGGAGAGGACACAGTATCGGGGGGAGGAGGATCCCAGACGTGGGAGCAGAATGGAAGACAAGGACGGAGGGAAAATGCAGGATGTGAGGGCCATATAAGAACTGTGTGCACGGGGAGAAGGAGGAAAAAAACCCAACAAAAAACCCACATCTGCTCCGGTATTACTATTTGAATATAAAATAAAGGGACAGGCAAAAGTAAATAAATGCACCTCCACAAAGGAAGCAAACACAGTTGTTGCATTGCATCTGAGAAGATTTTATTCTCTGTGCACGTGCTGAAATCTCTTCAGAATATTTAGAAAGAATTAAAATTTCTGTAAAAATAACAAAACAATAATAATAATCTCTGCCGTCACTCAGCTGCTTCATCATACCAGCAGTGTTTCACATACACAATTAAACTAGCCTTCAGCTGTACCATGCATTCAAAAACAAAGGATACACACAATATCATGTAAACAAAGAATAGAAGAATAAAACCGCACACTTTGGAACAAAGCAGTTCACCCAGGAGAAAATCTCAAATGATAAATACAAAGAAATACAAAGTGAAATTAAATCTTCTTTTTTAACGACTTTAAATTGGATAGTGAATGTTAATACCTCGGTTAAATGCTTTGTAGGCTGGCATGGTGCAGAAATGAATATTCTAAATCCACGTCTTCTCTTTAACTCCGAACACGATTTTATACATTTCCGGCAGCGAAGAGGATTTTAAACTGAAGCCAGTGTCCCTTCAGAGCAAATTCATATCAAAGGGTTCCCAAATAATCGCAGAATTGTGGGTTTTATTGAATTTGGCACACGCTCACAACATCAAAACACCACATGGGCTTAGAGCTGTGATTCACTGGCACGTATTCATGCAAACAGAGTGTTAGTGGGAGGCTACTGTAGGAGGCTAAACCTTTCTTATAAAAAAAATAACACAAAAAAACCCCAACAACATAAAAAACAAAATCCAGAATGAACATATGTTGACAGACTGTCAGCATCATTCTAACCCACATGTTTTTCCTGCTTAAAGACAGGCTGAGGTCGACATCAGTCACCTTTGAAAGGCTTTCCCTTTCCTTCCTTTAGCAGAACTCAGACTGCCAGCTTAAACACTGAGAATCTGGATCTGTTTGCTGGAACAAACAGAAACCTCCTGGTTTGTTTTAGCCAAAAATAAGATGCATTTCTGTCTTCCAAGAGGCTTTGTTTTTCTTGAGCATGTATCAGAGAGGAAACAGGGACAATGTTGTAGGTGCTAAAAATCACTGAAAACATGATTAGGCTGCAGCGTGACTTTTTGGTCTTTTTTGTTTAATCACAGAGATCCTCCAAAATGGACTTTCAATAGCTGATCAAGGGTCAGCTACTAAATCAGACCTAATTTGTTTTGCTTTTCCTTATTTTGAGCCATACTTTGTGTTATTATGCTGGGTGCTTATATTAAATAAGTTTCAAATAATGAGGTGAGACTTCAGACTGCTCTAAACTCAGTTTCAAACAGTTTGTTCTACTCTTTCCTCTGATGTCAAAGACAGAGGATCTCTCTAACATGGCTCTCTGGCTCTGACTGTGGACACAGAAGCTCCATCCAACTCAAACATTCTTTTTACAAGAGGCAGCCAATCAGAATATAGTTGGTTTTGAGAAAGGGCTGCCTCAAAGGTAGGGAACTACACCACCTCGTTTCAGATGAGCACAAAGGTCCCTCACAGGATAAATAAAGATTACTAGCTTAGCTTTGCATGATTCACAGTTGAAAGAAAACAGAGACCAAGAATGGAACTGTGGAGCTGGGAATGAGCATAACAAGCCCACTTTAAATATTCAGTACATCTGCTATCCTTTAGTCACAGCAGGCTATCAGCTCTGCTTTTTGGTACCACTGCGATCCCTTGCCTCGTGTAGTCTTACATTAATGAGAACCCAAACGGTTAAATGCAGTGTAATGTGCAGGTTTTTACATGATGAGATAACAGAGCTCTGTTTTCAAAACTGCTTTCAACTCCACCCTGAATGTAAGAATGAGACAATCTGAAAGTCACTGCTAACAGGGAAGAAAAGGGATCCATTTGGAAAATTAGAACTCTCATCACAAACATAACAGACCAAAAGTCTTTGGATTAACTTTTGTCCTATTAATGAAATTTTAAAAAAAATCTCCCAAGAATGAAAAAAGTGAATCAAAGAAGAGCAAAAACACTCAAAGGTAGAACATACATAGAAACTACAAGAGCGCCACCGTTGTGAAGTTCTCATGGCTGGCCTTACAGTGCTGCGTCCCCATTGGTCAGCTACTTTTAGACAACAGTCAGTGATGCACAGATTCAACAAGCGGTAATACCTTCTAATGTCAACAGCAGTCATAATAACATCTCAGTTAGGACAGACTGAGGGATAGCCCATTCTCTAATTAATGGAGTTTTACTTTCAGTCCACTGACATGTTCATCTAAGTGTAAGTAGCCCACACGAGAGCTTTGTGTCAGAACTGGGGCTGAAAAAAAGACCAAAGAGGAAAAGTCTGAACCCAGAAACAAAGGTGAAGATTATCATAACCAAATGGAGCACTCTATGCAATTCTAATGTAAATTCTTTTTTAGAATTGTTGTGTTTTGCTTTCACTTTCTTTGCATTTGATTCTTGAGAGATTTTTTTCAGTAACTATGAAAAATCCCACTGTAACAAAGGCAAGATGTTGATGTGCTATGTACAGCACTATAACAGAGGGTCGGCCTGAGCGTGGGTCTGATTACTGAATGGTTCAGACAATCCATTCCTGAGTAGACCCATTTAAAAGCTTTATCCAGTCCATGTCTGGAACACACTGACATTGAGTAATATTTAAAGGGTCAGTTCATCTAAAAAAATCCACCAAGCTCTCTACTGGCATCAGAATAGCTAATGTGGAATTACAGTAACTCTAACCCTGATGTGTGATTTTAATATAATCTGGAGACCTGCAGTTTCCAGCCAGTTTTACCCTAAAATAGTCCTTAAAATGTCCTAAAACTCGGTGCTTCGCCAGTTTATGAAGCATTTTTGTTTACCTTATACATCATTTCCTATTTTCACTGTAATGAAATTAGCTGGCAATTACAGGAAATACATAATACCTGCTTTTTCTTTATAATTTAGCTGAACTAACCCTTTAGGGAGAAGCAAAAAGGAAACAGTAAGAAGAGAGAGGGGCTTCTGATAGAGGAGAAAGAAAGCAGGTCAGAAACAAACAGATCCATCACAGTGTTTGCAAACACGACTGTAAAGTGTTTCTTTTTCTCTGCAACTCGACTCACTCAAGGCAACACAAAAATAAAACGTATAGAGCACTTAGTTGGCAACACAAAAAAAGCACATGAAAAGCTGTCCATTGCTAATGTGGGATATACAGTGTAAATCGCGTTGAGCTGTGTGTGTGTGTGTGTGTGTGGGGGGGGGGGGTGGGGGGTGCAGGCCTTCCCACTTTGGTTTTGATCACTCCCTGTGCTGAGCCTTCACACCACATATTGGTAGGTCTCAGCCTTCCCGTGGTCGGGGGTGGAGAAAGGGCTAAACCACAATATGGAGAAAGGGTGTCCGAATACCGCCCTCATGTTCATCCACTTAGTTTTTTTAGCCCATCTTCTCTCTTCCTTTTTCAATTGCTCTATGCCCTGAAAACGAGAGACAACCAAACTTCAGTTGGTGTGCTTTTGCGGCCCAGCGATCACAGTAATCACAAACTCCAAATACCCATTTCTGTATTAGAAAGATAAAAATAAGATCATCGGGGGCTGCACGTCAGGCGCTGCTGAATTAGGACAGTGGAGAGCCGATGTTGTGCCCTTCCCTTGTGTGTTGCACAGCCCTGTGTATGCTAAAGCCCTCTCTTCATAATAAATAAGGTCTGGAGTTGCAGACAAAAAGAAGTTGAAAACAGGGAGAGTTTGGTTTGGTGAGCTATGCTTCCCATGCACACAGGCGCCGTGTGCTTGATTATTTCAGCTCCAAACTTGAGAAGACAGAGATTCCTTCTTTCGCTGATACACTGACAAACGGACCTTTATTATAAAATTGCATACAGGCCTGCCCTTCATGAACAGCACATTAGACTCACCACCAGGGGGCAGACTACTGGTAATGAGCAGGTGTAAAATCTGGACTCTGCTCAGCAGTTTAACTGGTAAACTTTTTTTTTTGCATGTGTGTTTTAGTCTCCTTTATTAAAGCTAGCCAATGCACACAAAGCTACGTGCACTATTTGCCTGTGAAAAGTTGTGACTTTATTCAGTTTAACTAGCTCACCAAAGACAAAGTGAGAGAGAGAGAGAGAGCTTATATATAGTTGGGGTAGTAACACTGGGAGAAGGATGAGGATGGCTGTATAGATAAATCAGGCTAATGAACCTTTTGTTACATGAGACATCTCCACAACAGAAAGAAGCACAGGAGTACAGAATTGCTTGATTTTGTATCACATTAATCCACAAGTCTGGAAAGGACTGAGATGTTACTATTATTGCTGTTATGAGTTACACCTGCACTTTTCCTGCTGAGTCTAAATGTCTCGTGTGAGGAAAGGTCCTATTTACAGATTGATACTGCAACAGTCACAGCCACAGTTGCCTCATACTTTAAAAGACAGTATGAATTAAACATTGGCAGGTTGGAGTTGAGGCATTGTTATTGTCACTCTGCCATAAAAAAGATGGAAAAACAGCCAGTAGGAGGTGACTTCCTTTGGTTGCAAAAACAAATCAGGCTCTACAGAAGTCTATGATCCACCTCTGCAATTTCTGATATGATGGTAGGTGTAACTCAAATTATTTGCTTTTAAGGCACTTAAGGTTGAAGTTCTGCTGCAGAGTAAGAGACGTCAGCTGATGTTTTGAGACGTTAAAGATATTCATGTTAAAAGAAGTTGAGAGTTGCAGCAGCAGGGAGAAGTCCTGAAGCACAGAGGAGTTAAAAGGAGGTGGTTAACAGGATGGTAAACTGGGTCACTTACGGTCTCGTCGGTACAGATGGAGTGGACTTGGGTGCCGAACATCACAGAGGTGAAGATGAGGAAGAGGAGGCCCTCAAAGCACAGGAGTATGAGGAGGATGACTGTTGCTGGAGGAGAGAAGGTACTGCACTCTGGGGGAATGGGAGGGAGGTGGACACAGGGAAGTGAAAGGGCAAAGAAGAGATTCATAGAGGAACTGCTGCACTTCTATCAAAAAACTACTGCATCCAACTGCAGCTCTACAGTGACGATGCAAAGCTTTGAAGCCAGCGAGTATGAGCTTAGGTCAACTTCTTAAAGACTATTGTACGGGATCAGGAAGTTACGGCATCAGTAACTGGAAGGAAAATAAATGTCACAACAAAGAAGTAGAGACAAGATGTACTCATGTCAACAATATTTCATATTTTCATTTGTCCTAAGGAGTTGCAAGCATTGCCATATAATGACACTTATAGTGGCAGGACATAAATATCTGTCTGATGGCCCAAAATGATCCTTTCCTCTAGCCTGTGGTCTGATGTATGTCCAGATTGTTTAGGTTTCAGTTGCTTGGTTTTATCACCAATAGAAATGCCTGCATTCTCTTTAATATTATGGACCTAAATAGCAATTGCATTGACAAACTAAAAGCCCACCAAAAAAATCATTTGAAAGTTCAGCAACAAGACCTCTTTCCTCATGACGCGGTTATTCCATAAACCTTGTTTATAGATAAGAATCCTTGATTATGGATAAGAAGTTGTGGATTTTTTTTTTTTGCAGTGCCTGGGTCATAACTTTGGAAACTAAGAAAAGCCAACATTTTCAAAACTGGGCAATTCACATGGAAAAAAATGTAGCTGGACAAACACCACTATAGACCAGAGGGAGAATGTGCAACTTTGATTTTGTGTTGTATGTAGATGCAGTGGGCTAGGATAGGCTACAGACTCCCAGCACCGCTGAATAGAATAACCGATAGAAAGTGGATGAAGATCATATATGTATACCGATCAGGCACAACATTATGAGCATCTGCCTAATATTGTGTAGGTTCCCTCGACAGATGTGCTGTGGTATCTGTTCTGCAAGATGTGAGGTGGGGCCTCCATGAATCAGACTTGTTTCTCAAGCACATCCCATAGATGCTCGATTGGTTTGAGATCAGGGGAATTTGGCGTAGCTCATCTACTGACCACACGAGCCAGCCTGTGCCCCCCTTAGTTGAATTGCAATGATTTTCGTGGCTGTAGAAGGCGTTTCTGTTTGTTTGTCCCCCATTTATGTAAACAGGATGGGATAAACACAAGAACAGATATATGGTCCTTTAAGAAATGGAAACTAATGTGAAGAATATTGTAAGATGGTTATGTATGTAAATACAAAATATAAAATCAAGCAAATTACTTTACTGTCATGTTTGAGGGAAGATGTCTATTTACATCTAGAGCTCTGTTCTTTATGTGTTTGCAGGCTAAAGAGAACTGTAAAAAAAGGAAAAAGCACTTACTCGTCCAATCATCTTCAAAGCAGTAGAGGAAATGGAAGACCACCATGACCAAAGCGTGGAGAGAAGTGAGTGCAATGTACATCTGGGTTAAAAAAGAAAAATGAGAAAGTGGATACAATGAGCAGGAACTGACAACACAGGCTAACCACAAACAGAGTGGCATTTACCAAGAAACGGCTCCATTTCTATAGCAACAACTGGTGACTTTATGATTGAAAATCATGTGACAGGTGTAACCTTCAGGGTGTTTTTTTCGTCAATTTACAGACTAACAGTGGACTTACTGTGAAAAGCACAAAGTACTTTTGGTTGTTCTCTCCAACACAGTTGTTGACCCAGGGACAGTGGTGGTCCATCTTCCGTATGCAGCGTTTGCAAACACTGTAAGAGAAGAAATTCAACTGAAAACCAGGATCAAAACGTTTTGTCAATATACAAAGAAACTAAAAGACAACATGAAATATGGGATAAACTGAAAAAAATGAAGGTTTTTAATGCAAATACTAAAGTTTAAGGATTTACATTCTCTGCATTTGAGCAAACAGGAAGCTGGTGGTAAGGCTAGTGCTAAAGCTGGGTGTTCTGTGCAAACAGCGAGTGTTTGGAAATCATTACTGGATTTCCTGAGAAGATTTAATATGTTGCTTTACTGCTTTGTGACTACAATCATGCCTATGAACACAATTACAATATAAAGGCCCGATAAGCTATACTATTCTATGTGTGTTTGTTCATCACCTATCGCAACAAGAATTCACTGAATCCACTTCAGTAGTTGGTACTGACAGGAAACTGAGTAAGAGCAGTACTGAATTTGAAGTTGTTTAGTTGAGCTAAGGTTGTTCTCTCTTACTAGTATATTCCTTCTATATACACCCCCAAGGCTACATGCAGCTCACATGAGGTAAATGGGAAATTAGGATGCAAACCTAAATAAGTATATATCATGCAGTTTGATGCATTCTAGCAACCAAATGCTGTCGGGTAAGATTCCCATTTGAGAATGACTTAGGTTTTAGCAGTTTTGTGGGAAAACACAATATAAATTTATTGGTTTTATTTTGAAGGGAAATGCTGTTTTTATTTTAAATGCATGTACAACGATGAACCAAACCATTAACTTATGTGAAAGCAGTTGTTGAAACTAGGATAAAAGAGAGGTGAGGATCAGTGAGGGGCAGTGTGGCTTCATGAAGAAAAAGAGCACTACAGATGTGACGTTTGCTTTGAGAGTGCTGATGGAGAAGTATAGAAAGAGTCAGAAGGACCTCCACTGTGTCTTTGTGAAACTAGAGAAAGCAGAAGATAGGGTGCCAAGAGAGGAACTGTGGAACCGTATGAGGAAATCAGAAGATGGAGAGATGTGAGGGTGGCTCAAGACATGCCAAGCCTGATCAAGCCTGGACTAAAATGTTACCAACTAACAGGTGTTACAAGTGATTACTATCCAAATCTGACAGAGAAAAAAATGTGGGCGCTTTTAAGCAGATGTAAGACAAAGTGACTGAAATTGTTATTTTTGCAGTGTATTATATACCAGAAGATACTGTGAAAGTCAGGGCTAAAAATTAACCCTGTTAATGATGTAATCAGGGAGAGAACACTGAATCACAATTAGTTGCACACTGTTTGATTGAAAATGGTGACATAGGCTACCACAGAGCTGTCAAGTGACTCATACAGGGCAAAGTGATGAAGAGTGTGAAGAATGACCACACGTAGACACACTGTTTGGGTTTATTTCCTCTTTTATTGCTGACACGCACTACTGACAGTCTCTCTGTCTGTTTCCTCGGCTCGGCACCCACAGGTGCAGCTTTCAGCCGCATTCTGACCTCTCCACTCTCTGCCCCGGTTTCACTAAAATTCACACACCGAGAGAGAGAGAGAGATCGTTAACTAAAAACGTCACACACCTATGTCACAAACCACCACGGCATTGCCCCGTGATCTCACTGCACCACCCCTCCCCTGCAGCTGAGCCAGGGACCACACCTCCGCCACAAAGAGCATGGGAGCAGAAATTTAAGAGTTTTGGAGAAAGAAAGGTAAAGATATTTTAGAGGTCTGAGATGCAGATAGAAGAGAAATCCTGAACTACACTACGCTAATGCATGATCTAAACACCAAATCGAAAAGCAAGGGCCTACATGCACATAAAATATAAAGCCTGGTAAAGGCCTTCATTTGAAAGTTGCAGTTTCTTTCAAGCCAACTGGAGAGCAACATTCTTGCTCATATGCAAACAGAGAAGATGTTGGTTCTCTTTGGATCTACTTTGATATGTGAACAAACTCAGTGAAGAGGTTTAACAAATGCAAATACAGAGCTTATCTCAGTGATCATCACCTGTCCACTATCCTTCACATTTCCAAACACTGAACCTGACTTCAACAGACTTGTTCAAGCACAAAACAGCCTATATTTCTCTCATTGAACAAGAAGAATTGAAATTGCAGGGGAATTCAACTACAAACACAATAGCAAAAGTACTTTATACAAAGTCGTATTTCATTCAATACGATTTTGTTTTAGGTATGTGATAAAGTGTTTTTTATTTTTTAAATAATTGTTTTAATTGTTTTTCTTTGTTTTCATGACTATTTACATTGTAGATTCTCACTGAAGGCATCAAAACTATAAATGAACACATATGGAAGTATGTAATAAACAAAAAGTGTGAAATAACTCAAAATATGTTTTATATTTTTCAAAATAGCTACCCTATGCTTTGATTACTGCTTTGCACACTCTTGCCATTCTCTTGATGAGTTTCATGAGGCAGTCACCTGAAATGGTTTTCCAACAGTCTTGAAGGAGTTCCCAGAGTTATTGAGCACTTGTCTTTTTTGCCTTCACTCTACAGTCCATCTCATCCCAAACCATCTTGATTGGGTTTAGGTCAGGTGACTGTGGAGGCCAGGCCATGTGTGTTTGGGGTCATTGTACTGTTGAAAAAGAAATGATGGTCCAACTAAACACAAACCGGAACGGAGTGGCATGTATCTGGGCTCTAATCTGAGGTGCTGTTAACTTGCGGTTTCTGAGGCTGGTGACTCGGATGAATTTATACTTAGCAGCAGAGCTCACTCTTCCTGGGGCGCTTGATGGTTTTTGGGTACACATTCAAAGATTTAGCAGTTTTCTGGACTGACTGACCTTCAGTTCTTAAAGTAATGTTAGATTCTTACTTCTCTTTACTTAGCCGATTGGTTCTTGCCATAATATGAATTCTAACAGCTGTCAAATGGGGCTGTCAGCTGTGTACAAACCTGACTTCTGCACAACAAAACTGATGGTCCCAACCCCATTAAGAAGGAAAGAAACGCCACAGATGACGCCTGCTAAGGCACACCTGTGACGTGAAAACCATTTCAGGTGACTACATCATGAAGCTCACTGAGAGAAGGCCAGGGGTTTGCAGCGCTCTCAACAAAGCTAAAGGTGGCTACTTTTGAGTAATCTAAAATATAAGACATTATTTTTATTTGCTACATAACTGCGATATCTTGCTTCTTAAAGTCGATATCTTCAGTTTGTATCTACAATGTAGAAAGTAGTAAAAATAAGGAAAAACCATTAAATGAGAAGGTGTGTGCAAACTTTTGACTGGTAGGGACACACACACACAAATGTTTATTTGGCTATCTTTGTGAGCGTATTCATTCACAATGTAACCTCTGCTCCCTAACTGTAACCATCAGGTTAAGCCAAACCTTCGTCTGAACCTAAACCTAATTCTAAATTTAATCCAAAAACAAACTCTTAACCTTCAAACAGGCTGAAAATGTCATCATTCTGAAACTACAACAGAATCTCACAAAGGTAGCACCCTGTTTTTTATATGCTTTTATTGTAACTGTCTGTTACTTTATTTAGTCACTCATGTTGCTTTATGGATTGGTTCTAAAAAACAAACAAACCACAACATCTGCATTTTAAAAGCAATCACACCCAAACACATTCAACAGTGTATTCTACAACTAGTTCTCTTTTCAAACTTGCCTGCATGTGGCCTGCAGGCCAAATGTAGGGTAAATGTAAATAGAGCCTGACCAATATATCACTACTTTTATTATAGGCAAATATTTTAGTGTCTGCATTTGTATGTGTTTATAGCAGCCAGTAAATGAGAAGTAAGCAATAGAAGGGAAAACACCCTTCATCTGTGTTAGAGGGCTGATGTTGCATACTTTGACCACCAGAGGGACTCTGATCCGAGGAGAGTGTGGCACAGTGTAAACAAGTAATCCCCAACTTGATGTGACAATAAAACCTATTTTTAGAATCCGCTGTCATATTATCTTAGTAAGGAATCATAAGTAGCTACACACAACAAATGTTCTGGAAATCTGTTTATACTTAATAGGTAAGAAAGAAAAAAATATCACCCGATATCAGATGTTTAAATGAACAAATAATGGTATTTGTCTCAAAAGTCCTGTATCGGTTGGGCTCTATCTGTAAGCTGCAGCTAGAAATAAGTAACCTCGGTCACTCCCTCCGAGAATGGGAATTGCACCAGTTTCAGGATTTATGAAAGGTTACAATTGGGGACGTTACTGCACTAAAGCGATGCATAGGACTAAGTTTGTGAATGTCAAATGCGGCAGTGGGAATTTCGCATCATTTTTGCCCTACCTGCAGTGGTGTGCTCGGTCAGGCTTGATGCTGCAGCACTTGGGACATTTGTAGACCACCTGTCCTGGTTTCAGTTGAAGGCTTTCTATGTATTCCTTGGTGGCGTTTCCTTTTGGCACGGCCCCCTAGCAGGAAACATGTACATAAAGTAGATGACCTCAGTTATATGTGCAGCTCATTAATCACCATAATGGTCATTTTATTAAATGTCTGCTACATTAATCAGAACTTCATAAAGCTAAAGAGCATTAAGCGTCAGCATGACATTGAGAATTAAAACAATTCGTATGCATGAATAATCCAATGCAACCTGACTTACAGGGTCAGTGCACATGGCCCTGAGGTGAGAGGCGAGGGCAAGGAAGGCCAGAGTGTTGAACAGAGTCCCGTTCACAATACTGTACATCAGGTTCTTGGAGGGCAACAGCATCACAAACAACACCACAAACTCAGCGTACAAGACCAGCAGCCAGGTGATGATGGCACACACAATGCCGCAGGCATCCCTGATGAACCACATGGCCGAGGCAGAGGAGGAAGTGATGACGTCTTTGGAGATGGGGATGCGCTGTTCCTCCTGTAGGCAGCTGGTTCCTCCCCCAGCCCCAGACTGTCCACGGTTATGCTCCACATCCCTACATCTGTGCACCGGGCTCTTCATCCTTCATCTAAGCTGGATTCCTGCTCCTACTGCCACCAATGGACCCACAGCGCCTTCAGGCCTCCGCCTTAGTCACCGCATGCTAAGAAGTGAGGATGGTTCAAAGATTAGGTACACGAGCTGAAGGTTTAAAAAAAACAAACAAACACAAAAAGAACAAAAACTCAAAAAATTTAGCCGCCAGCTGTCAGGTCAGTTTTATAGTGCAGGCAGTGACTGGTTCAGTCTTTCACAGTGACTGTTTTTGTTTTTTTTATCTTCTTCGTTTTTTTTATTTCGCTATTATATAAAACTAACACCACATCTTATTTAAAGTTAATTTGTAAGTTTTCCAAAATGCTACAATGATTAAATGATCTCAGATGTCTAGGCACTGTGGTGGTTCTACCCTTTTGTTTAGCTCTGAAATACTTTTTTCCCCCCCACAATCCGTCATGACATGATCTAAACAATTTGTGGAATGAACAGAACCTCTAAACATCATCTTAAATACGTATTTTGTTAAATTAACTTGTATTTGGGAAAATTACAAGTTAACTTTTTCAAACTATGATTTCTTCACCATGACTTCTACTGCTGCAGGATGCATTACAAAACTGATATTGAGTATTTTCCTGGATATCAGTATCAAGTTTCAAATTCTAATATTGTGAGAACCCTAGCATCTATCTCCTCTTCTTTACTTTATGAAATTTGATGTATCAGCTTACATAAATGCCAATAGTGATAACTCAGCAAATAGCCAATGTCAGCTTGTTATTAACTTTTTTGAGCTCTAACAATTAGAAAATATTACACATATACTAAAAATTCTATTTCTCCAAAAATCAGATCACTACCGGAGCCTTGATATTTTCCTTTACATTTCTAACCATTAAAACCTAGTGTATGCGCAATTTGGTGTTATCAACTAATCACTGAACAATGAAATGTGAGCTTTGCACATGTGCAGTGTTACACCTGGAATGACACTGCAGATTTTTGACAAACCCTTGTGTTACAAGAAATGTCGGTTGAACCGAACTTTCTTGTTTGCTGTGACTGGGTATGTGGGCAAATAAATTGTCACAAAAACTATCAACGCAGTTCTTTTGAGCGTGTTTGCAACATTACTAGAGGAAAAGAGGCATAAGAGTTTTTAATCAAACATTCAGACGGCACTCAGGAATCCTCTACATGGTGGATGTTCTTCTACGGACACCACAGGATTCTTCAGCAGTCTCCTCAGAAGTGAAAGCTGGCCAGCTGCATGACCGAGCTTTGTCTCTGCACTCAGCTTTACACAACCTGGAGCTCCACCAAACACACGAAATGTCTGGTCAGTGAGAGGTCACTGAAAGGTAGTAAACTGTTATCGTGACCTAATGCAACACTTCTCTATTCAAGACCCAATCCTCGTGTAAGTTACAGCTGGATAACGGGATGATGTATATGACCTGAGTGAAAGACAGTAGTATAGCTGTCAAAGTACATATCGAGCAGTCACCTTAAAAATGTGGCTCGATGGTTCCCTGATTATCCTGTTTTCATGGGCGAAGGAGTTACGATTTCGTTGCCATGTGTGTAGCAGCTTTACCTTCAGCCACGTAAGAGCAATAATACCGGGCTAATAATGTAACATTATTAAAATCTATTGAAGACTACTCTACTGCCTGTTCTAATTCAAATCAATAAGGTGGTGAAACATGGAAAGCGGGTTTAACAGCGAGCGACACATTACCGTCAGCCCACTGCTAGCTAATACTAGCTACGTAGCTACCATATCAGCGTAAGCGTCTAAGTTTTCTCATATTTATAAAACAATCCTTCCGTTTACCTGCAAACCAGGAGGAATCAAAGAGCGCGTCAATGCCTTCACCTCATTGTAATTATCATTATATTCCACTGAATCTCACCTGAACGATGCGCATCCGCCGGTGGCTTTCTCCCCTGCTGCTGTTTGGTTACCCACTCGACGCCGTGCTCCCGCCCCTTCATGATGACGTCGTGGCGTAGAAGGCAGCGAATGGAACCACGATTAAGTTTTACGCGTCAGAGGACGCGTCCAAGACGCACCTATTTCTGGTATCTGCCTCAGTACCAAGGCCGAGTATTTATTAAATCAGTTTTAGATAAGAAAAGCGGAGAGTGTAGCACAACAAGAAGGACGAAACACAGTCTACAGGAAACAGCACACAAAGGCTAATGACATTCTGTAGTGGCATTTAAATGCACGAAGGGATGTTAATTGAGGGACGTTGCAGGTTTATCTGATTCAGTTCCAACTATGTGCTGGATCCAGACAAAATGAAGGTTTAAGCATAGTCTTAAAAGTGGAGAGAGTGTCTCTCTCCTAAACCCAAACTTAGAGCTGTTTCAACAGAAGAGGGGCTTGATAACAGAGGAATCTGGCTGGCATTTTACTTTTAGAAACTTAAGGAATCACAAGGAAGCCTTTACTTTGAGAGTGAAATGCTCCAATAGGATAATTATACTATGAGGTCTGATCATTCATAACTTTGTAGTTCTTGGATTTTAAACTTAATTCTGAGTTTAACAGTGTGTCAATGAAGACAAGCTAATATGGGAAAACATATTGAATATCCAGTAGTGAATAGAGTCATTTGATTTATGGCAGTGCAAACACATAAAAACTGATGGTCTCAAGGCTGTAAAAATAAAGCCAGAAATCCTATCACTTACCTTTTTAAAAAAACATTTAAGGTAATGGTAAGGTTATGACTAAGCAACACACTTCTGTTAAAGCTGGACTACATATGAACATGTGTTACAATCAAGTTATAAAACAGCAAGTTCACATAATGCTGATTAAGCTCATCAGAAGAAGACAAATCTCCTGGAATTTTGCAGTCCACCAAAGTTTTAAATCTGCTGTTGTGGCTGCTAGTAACACGTTTTACACCGGCCAGGAATAATGGGTTTGCCAAAGGTGACTGTGAGTCAGAGAAATCCTGCTTAAAGTTTTTCATGCTCCATTACAAATTACAGTAAATAAAAGAAAAGAAAAACTATTCCATGTAGGTAAGATATGAGAACACGTCTTTGTAATTGCTCTCACCACCTGTAGTTTGGTGGCTCTATGGGTGCAAGTTTCACTCAAGCACAATGTTTGGCAATAAGGTTGTTGGACATCCTGCATAACTTTTAAATACATTCTTATTTTAATTTTTTTATTAACTTTTCTATCTAATTGATTTTGATTCAAGATTCAAAGTGTGTATTGTCATATGTCATAAGAGAAAAAGGCATTTCTCTGTGCAATGAAATTCTTTCTTTGCTGTCCACCCACAGACGCCGATTAATATATATACAATAGAAATAGAACATATAAATACAATAGTACAAATAAATAAATAAACAAAGACAGAAAAGGAGACAAAATATGGAGATGTGAAACAGAGATGTATGCAAAAGAGCTATAGCTTAATATGCTGGCTTAATATGCAGAATGACCTGATGTGCAAAAAAAAAATATTATTACTGTTCAAAAACAGGTCAGCTGTTCAAGAGTCTGTTTGCAGTGTGGAAGAAGGAGTTGTTGAGTCTGGATTTTCTGGATTTCACACTTCTGAACCTCCGTCCTGAGGGCAGAAGCGTGAACAGTCCGTGTTGGGGGTGTGTGGGGTATTTGAGGATGGAGGCAGCTCTCCTCTGGACTCTGCGATGGTAGATGCTCTGCAGAGAGGGCAGCAGAGTCTGGATGATCTTCTCTGCAGTTGTTATCACTCTCTGCAGGCGTTTGTGGTCCATGCCAGTAGTGCTGCTGTACCATGAAGTAATGCAGCTGCTCAGTGTGCAGCTGTAGAACCTTCCTCAGCCTCCTCAGGAAATACACCAGCTGTGTGGTGTTCAGTGTCCAGGTGAGGTCCTCAGAGATGTAGACGCCCAAGTACCTAAAGCTGCTCACCCTCTCCACTTCTAGGCCCCAGATAAACAGCGGCTGGTGAGGCGTCCTCTTCTTCCTCGTGTCCACTATCATCTCCTTTGTCTTGTCAGTGTTGAGGGTGAGGTTGTTGTCCTCACACCATGACACCAGACCTGCCAACTCCCTCCTGTAAGCCGCTTCGTCCCCTCCAGTGATGTGACCGATCACTGCAGTGTCGTCCACAACTTCAAAATGATGTTATCTTTGTTGGAGGTGACACAGTCGTGGGTGTACAAGGTGTAGAGGATGGGACTGAGGACGCAACCTTGTGGAACGCCAGTGTTTGTAATAATGCTGGCTGAAGTCCTGTTGCCGATCCTGACGGACTGGGGCCTGCCAGTCAAAAAGTCCTGTAGCCAGTCACATAGGGTTAGGTGCAGGCCGAGTGTTACCAGCTTGTGAGTGAGTTTGTGTGGGATGACAGTATTGAATGCGGAGCTGTAATCAACAAAAAGTACCCTGATGTATGAGTGATGTAAGACTTATTCGTCCTCTTCTGTGTTTGCTTGGGTTCAGACTGACAGTCAGAGTGCAATGAGTTCTTGATTCTGTCTGTTATCCGAGAGCTTTTCTGTTTTTATTGAGGTGAAGCAAATGTGCATGTGTTGCCTACTCATAAAGTAATAGTCCCTTTTACCGACTACGTCATCACTGTTTATAAACTGTAAAAGGGCCTATTAAAAATGTCATCCTGAGATTAGCTAGAAACTAGCAAACCTGCTTGAGTGAGAAGGGGAGGTAGGTTGGATGAGCATAAAGAACACCTGCATGTACAGGGTGGGCCATTTATATGGATACACTGTAATAAAATGGGAATGGTTGGTGATATTAAAGTCCTGTTTGTGGCGCATTAGTATATGTGAGGGGGCAAACTCCTCAAGATGGGTGGTGACCATGGTGGCCATTTAGAAGTCGGCCATCTTGAATACAACTTTTGTTTTTTTCAATAGGAAGAGGGCCATGTGACACATCAAACTTATTGGTAATGTCACAAGAAAAACAATGTGCCACAAACAGGACTTTAATTTCACCAACCATTCCCATGTTATTACGGTGTATCCATATAAATGGCCCACCCTGTATTATATTCACAGTGTTGGGAAGGTTACTTTTAAAATGTATTCCATTACAGATTACAGAATACATGCCCCAAAATGTATTTTGTAATGTATTCCGTTACGTTACTCAATGAGAGTAACGTATTCTGAATACTTTGGATTACCTAATATATTATCATGCTGTTAGGCTACATTCTTTAGGGCTATGCCTGTAGCATTCTGCCTATTAGCTTAGCACAACAACAACAACAAAAAGGCGCTCTCTCACCCAGGAAACACACAGTCACCCTGTAACCATGGTAACCGTAATGCTGCCGCCTGGAACAACAGAACGTAGCTGTCAAACAAAACCCAAACAGTCCTGACCCGCGACAATATGAAACAGGAAAATACCGCCATGTAATCCATTTATTTCAACAAAGTAACTGTATTCTAAATACCACCTTTTTAAATGGTAACTGTAACTAAATACAGTTACTCATATTTTGTATTTTAAATACGTAACAGCGGTACATGTATTCCGTTACTCCCCAACACTGTATATTCATCACAAAGTATCTAGTGATTCTGTGAACTCATGGATGAATTATATTCATATTTTAGGAGTAAATGACACCCACTGGTGAAGACAATAGAGCTGTTCTGTTGTCTGGGAGGAAATATCCATCCACCTGGGGGGCGACCGTGGCTCAGGGGACTGGGAAGCTCATCTGTAACCGGAAGGTTGCTGGTTTGATCCCCCTGTTCTCTCTCTGCTGGCCGGCAAGACACTTTACCCTATCACCTACTGGTGTTGGCCAGAGGGGCCGATGGTGCAATATGGCAGCCTGGCTTCTGTCAGTCTGCCCCAGGGCAGCTGTGGCTACAACTGTAGTTTGCCTCCACCAGTGTGTGAATGTGAGAGTGAATGAAAAGTGGAATTGTAAAGCGCTTTGAGGGCCCCGAAAAGCGCTATATAAATGCAATCCATTATCATTACTATTATTACCTAAAAATCTGCACCTACGGGATACCCTGATGTTTAACAAAACAGCTTCATCAATATTTCATTTCATGGAAAAGTTCAGGACACCATTTTTTCATTTGAGTGGATGGAACTCACATCCATCCATTTTATTTTCCTTAAACAAGGAAAGAATTCTGTGATCATCCACTGTATCTTCTTTGCTCATTTTTTTTGTTACTCATCAACCTTTAGCTGCCCTTTGAAATTGTTTGTCAGCCAATCATCTAATTAAAGTCACTGTGGTATTGTAAAGAGGCAATACTACAAGAATCCGGTCTTTTTCTTTGATCTTTGTAACCTGAATTTGGTCTCAGCTTTATCTATTCTGAAATGTCAAGAGTGGGTTGATGGAAGTGATTAAAATGACTCTGTTGTCTTAATGGATTGCATTTATATAGCGTCTTCTGCTCATATTCTTCTGTTTACTGAAACTATCCAAACACACACACTCAGGGTGAACATACTCAGAGCCAGTTCTGATTAGCTTTTTATTGACTCAAACTTTTTGAAACAGGTCTGTGATATCACACAAATAGACCTCACCGAGGTTGATATAAAAATTTTTTACAGGCTCCATTGAGTCAGGTGACAAAATAAGACATAACATATGTTTGCATTTATCTTAAACCATCAAAGATCTTTAGTTTTACTTGTTTATTGTTGTAATAGAAGCTTACATAGCTCTGAGCAGACATGGATGGCTCTGTACTTGAACAGCTATGTGATGGCAATGATTTATACATCACTGCCATCACTTGAGGGCAGCACTGTACAGACAACGCTTGCTGTATGTGGCTCGTTGGTCTTGTCTTTTGGCCAAATGCAGTATGGTTTGCAGCCAGTGTGTCTTAAGGCTTCTGTTGCTTTGAGTCTTTGCTGTTGCTGTGCTGTTATAGGGCTTGTTTCCACAATTTCATCAAATGGAGTGAAACATAAAAAACCAAGAACAAGGCAGCAGGACACAGGAAATCAGGCTACTTGATC